AAGACCAATGTAATCTTTTAGCCTTAAATGTTAGTCTTATATGATTCAAACCAGTCGTTATATGCGGAGGCCTTCTGTTTGGAAAAGGTAGTTTTGCTATTAAAGCAAAAAAGCTTTCTTACAGAATCAAATGAAATATGCACACTGACTTATAAATGAATGAATGAATGCAAAGTGATGTCTGCTAAATAAATTATATAATAGATGTATAATATGCGAGTATTAGGCAATGAAAAGAAAAGGTGTTGGTCTTCTCTACACTAAAACATGAAGCTAATTGTATGCAGTGACTGACATTTTTTCTAGGGTTTATTTTTCCCCAAATGAAGGGTTTACTAGTTTTAATTCAAATTTAGGGTTAGGGCGAGGGTTAGGGCAAGGAGTCCTGGGTTGAAATACAAAAATTGTTTAGAGTGAGAAATATTATTGCATTGCAATATTTGCTTGAATATGTACCAGACAATTTTATGAGCATATCCTTTTCTGTGGTTCTTACAGAATGTGGATTAAGCATTAGCATTTCATGGATACTACGGTCAATCTTGTCCATAAAAGAAATGACAATGTTTATCAATCATTTAATCAATGATTTCCAATGCTCTTACTGAAGGGAATATGGTTCTTGCGACACAAATCCAACCTCAACCTAGCTGTGCATCGATGGAAAAATAGCAGGGCAATTAATTTTCCACAAAAGCTACTTTTGTGTTCAATGAATGCTTGCTATTTGCAACTGATCCATTGTATCGTGATATGCCTGCCTTTCAGCTCTAGAACCAAGATCAATTGCAGCTGATTAATTGCCTTTATACAGTATTTAATGGATTTAGACCCAATGGTATATTTGACATGAATAGACCGACTGAGGTACCCGATAATAATTAGCTTCGTTAATTCAGATTAATTGACAATCCATATCAAGGGCAAATCACTGCCAAATTGGAAACAGATTACATTGTTAGATTTTCAAATATCGGGTTGTAGTTACCACAAAGGTATGTTATTTCACAAAACATGTCATTCTTATTATCCCTTGGTGGTAGAAGATATCAATATAAATTGCAACATTTTGCTCATTATTTTCAGCTGAATTAAAACAGTTCCCCCTCCCCCCCCCCCCCCACCTGAGATTTCTGTTATCAAAATAATTAATTATAATGTGTTAACCCATACCAACACCAAGGGCAAACTTTCAGGGGAAAAAAAAACTTCTAGGGATTTTGCAGGAATATCTATTTGAGGGCATCTGAGAATATTCAGAAGTTGTTAATAAACTTATTTCTTAGTTCATTTATTTCTCAGTATCCTATCATCATGAATGAGCAAAGGTGAATCTCATTTTTGGGGTTAATAGTCAGGAATTATGCCATACCCCCTAGTGTCGTTCATCATGTATATACTTGTCTATGCTTGCTTCAAATTATTATAATCCTCTTTTAGATTGTTTTCTTTGTTTGGCAAAATTTGCACATTTACAGTTATCATCTACTTGGAAGTTAGACAAAATTTGTGCAAATTTCAGTGAACTCTTTGAGAATCACGTTTTCAGGCTTCATCAGAAGTCATGACTCCTTTTAAGATTGAAATTGTTCATTTTTTCCAAACTCCCTACCAGCTGTGTGCCAACCTGAATGATGGATGGCCTTGTCTATCATGTCCTCGTATCTCTCTTACTAATCGTTTAAAAATGCAAATGACACAGAAATTTTGATCACATCACTAGTAGCTTATCAATTAAAAACTAGATCTTCAATTTATTATCTAAATGGCCATCCTTTTAGTTCAATTACCACCGACTCAATTACAATATCTAGCAAGAAACAAAATCTTTATAGCACATGAGTGTTTTAATGAGTTGCAATTTTGTTCATTATTTATTTAATAATCATTATGCATCATTTGTTCAAGAATAAAAAGGGTTTTACTAAATCTTACTTTTATTATAATCTTCATTTCATGTGCACAATGAAGTTTTTTGTCTTTCTTATACAGTATTCTGCTGGAAACCAGGGCCCGGTCTCATAATGAGTTGCGAAAGATCCAAACAATCGCAAATCCTCCAAGCAGTAAGCCATCTTCCTAATGCAACCAAATTTATGCATAAGCCTTCGTTAAGCGCTTCAATACAAATTAGTTCATTCACCTGGTAGGAATAAATATATCTGAATAGTGAGAATCAAAATTGCATACATTAGTTGTTGCTAGGCAGTCAAACATTATAGCTGGCCCTACTTAACAATACGTATTATATGAAATTTGCATTCTGACTATTGAAATGTAATTATTTGTAACAGGTGAATGAAATAATTTGTATTGTGGCACCTAAGTATATATTTGGTTACATTACAAAAATGGCCTGTTGCAAAGTCACAATCTCCTATCTTTTCTGTGATTGATTGATATTCATTTTAAACGACATTGCAATAGATTCCCATGAATCACTTTTTACAAGAGAAGGCCCAGGTTGAGCAATGTTATTGTATATTTCTTTACAATAAAGGATAATATACAGATCATATCTGTAGAAACAAGATCTGGGAAATGATAAAAACAGAGATAAAAGCAAGTGCAAAATCTCTTTGCATCATAAATGGAAATACAAAGTAAAAGGAGGAATAAAAAGACAGTACTTTCGATGTCAAAAGAGGCACTTAAAAATGCACTTAAACCCTTTATGCATAATATCAAGCGGTGAATAGGAAGCATTTACGTCTAATCTGTAAATCACTTGATCATAATTTGTAATATGATACAGTAAAATGAATACAATCATTTAAAATCATGCCAAGGGATGGAGAGAGGGAAGAGAGATTTCACCCCCAGTATACTATTCCTACCTTGATAACATTAAAAACTAGATGGAATTCGACTGCGCGCAGTCGAAAATGATGCCTCCGTTATAGAGCAATTTTACAAACCAAAACAGAAAAAAAAAATTGAATTCACGTTCAATGGTAATCCATTGACAGGTTCTCAGAATATTGTGATTACAAGCAATTTCTCATATACATATATGACCCTTTGATCTTTGACCTCATGACCATAAAATCTACTCAGTTCATTGGCTCTGCAAGATGTTCTGAGTTAAATAGTAATCCATCTGTCAGTTCTAATGAGAATGCGTTCACAAGCTATTTTTGCATACATAATGGGCCCATGACCTTTGACCTTTGACCTTATGAACCAAGAATCTACTCAGTTCATTGGCTCTGCAAGTAACAAACATGACCTAATTTTGGCATGAATCCATCAATCGGTTCTTGAGATAACGCGATCACAAGCTGTTTTTGCATTCATAATGTGCGCTGTGGCCTTTGACCTTTGACCTACGTGCTCCAAAATCTAATCAGATTGTCTTCCTATGGTGATACACACTATCATTAAGTTTGAAGTTTTTACATCTCCAGTGGTTCTTGAGATATCATGATAACAATCTCAATGTATGGAATTTCATAAGTTGACCTCTGTGACCCTTGACCTTTGACCTACGTGCTCCAAAATCTAATCAGATTGTTTTCCTATAGTGATACACACTATCACTAAGTTTGAAGTTTAAATCTCCAGTGGTTCTTGAGATATCATGATAACAATCTCAATGTATGGAATTTCATAAGTTGACCTCTGTGACCCTTGACCTTTGACATACGTGCTCCAAAATCTAATCAGATTGTTTTCCTATAGTGATACACACTATCACTAAGTTTGAAGTTTAAATCTCCAGTGGTTCTTGAGATATCATGATAACAATCTCAATGTATGGAATTTCATAAGTTGACCTCTGTGACCCTTGACCTTTGACATACGTGCTCCAAAATCTAATCAGATCGTCTTCCTATGGTGATACATACTATCCTTAAGTTTGAAGTTTAAATCTCAAATGGTTCTTGAGATATCGCGCTAACAAACTCAATACAAGGAATTTCATAAGTTGACCTCTGTGACCTGTGACCTTTGACCTACGTACTCCAAAATCTAATCAGATCGTCTTCCTATGGTGATAAATACTATTCCCGAGTCTTAAGTTTAAATCTTAAATGGTTCTTGAGATATTGTGATAACGGTCAAACGGGACGGACGTACGGACGGACGGACGGACGGATGTACGGACGGACGGACGGACGGACGTACGGACGGACAACCCGAAAACATGATGCCTCCGGCACCACCTTCGGTGGCGGAGGCATAAAAATCATACACTTGACAACTGAGACTAGTGTAGTGTATGGTGTTGGAATGAACTGAATATTCTGTAGAGTTGGACATATTACTCTCCTTAAAGGTACTATGTCCCTTTTGCAGCCAACCTCAAATGCTGTAGAACTTTGCAGGAATTATGAATATGTCATGTATGTCCTATCTGTGAAATTTAAACGTCAGCGGTGTCCTCATATTCAAATTATGCAAGGAAGCCTGTTTACTTGCTAGACTTCACTGTCAGACACTATTGAGTGACTGACTGGCTTTTTTTCTTCTTTGGTAATAACATACATGAAAAGAGTTGAAAAGGGTACATGAGCATTTGTCTACATCAATAACCCACTTCTTGTGATGGCCAAGATTAAACTGATTGAATCTTTGAATACATGTAGCATAAAACGTATGACCATTCGGTACAATTGTCTGAAATTCAAGACTATTACTTTTGGGCTCTATAGCCCTAAAGTCGATTGACAACTAATAGTCGTTATTTTCCCACTTGAAGACATTTTCAAGCCCCACATTTTTTAGGGAAGTTTTAAATTAGTATTATCTTTCAAATGCAGTTGGAATTTAACTTTTTCATTTTTTTGGCCTGCAAATGGGACATAGTACCTTTAATGCACAGGAAATAGTGGTAAATTCTTACTACCGGTAGTACATGTTTTATATAGATTGAAAAGAGCAATTGGAGGTAATTAAAAACACAATTTTGGAGTATTTGATACAATTATCTTCTACTTGTGCAGCATGGTGACTATAGTTCCGAAAATAAAAATATCGTTTTAAACTATTCACATATGTTTGAATGAGAAGAACATTTAATTTCAATAGTGGGAAAAATGTACGCTTGACTCACAGACTGTTATTCTAATCCCCAAACCACCTCCAAATCAACAAATGCATAATCTGTTTTTCAGCCTTAGAATGCTCTTCAATGAAATTCCTTGTTTTTCACTTGTTTGCATACAAGTGAAATGAAAAACAAGGCCAGGCGGCTTTGAACGGCCATATTTAGCTCTGTTATTAAAGGAATTAGCAAGCCTGATGGTCCGTTTATTTATCTATCTCCATACTCGCTTCTGTCGATCTCTTCTATCCTTTGCCAGACACGGGATTAATTTTAAACACTTCCTATTTTTAAATTCACTTTTCAAGGATGGTGAGGATCGAAAATGATCTTCTCAAAAGCACACGTTGCATCATCAAGAAAAGGTGGGATGGTAATGACCGGGCTGTGATCTAACAAGGAGAAAATAACGCTAATCTTTTATTCTCATTCCCAAACTGAAGTCAGCAGCTGCAAAGGTCACCAAGCTATGCTCCGGCAGCTAGGGGGTTAATCACAATGCAACATTTTACCAGTTTTCCTCGTTACTTTATCAAGGTAAGAATAGGAAATCACAAGGGGACACAAAACTTTTCTTTCTGACAGGCTTTTTAGTTTTTGTTTCCAAACCCCCCGTTTCGTAACCCTAAGCCCTCACTTCCTCCTTGCAAACATTCCGCATCAAAGTCTGGATAAAGAGAAAACAGGAAGTCCTTCTGATCTCCCCGAATCTTTGAGCAATCTGCTTTATTTCAGGGGAAAAGAAAATTGTGTTTGTTTCCACCGAGCTGCAGTGACGTAACCTTACAATGTCAGTCAGTCACGCACTCACTCACTCACTCGTAAGGACTCTAATGAAGACGATTTTGATCCATCTCCTCAAGAGGCTATATCTCTTGCTTTATCTTGTTTATGCAGAGAGGAAATGAAGAGACTAAACTTTTACCCTAATTAGCAGAGTTAAGAATACCCTCTTGTCCCTGAAAAATAATACAAATTAACCTTTCACGTCTTCTTCCCCTTGATTGAGAAGCTTTAACATCTGCCATGGTTCATTTCATGAACAGAAAATGGTTTTATCTACCGAGAATGAGGTTAGAATTTGCCCATTTAACTGCATTCCATATAACTGTTGTTGCATTCTGTATTCGATAGATAGGATTAGAATAGTGAATTTTTGGACTTCATGAAATAAAATTACACGGCTAATTATGATATTTGAAATTGAATTAAATGTTTGACTGCATACATTATCCTCAGCATTGCCATTAAAATTATCAATTAATCTCTACATCAAATTATATTGCAAATATTTAATTCTTTTGAATGCAATATCAGTTTCTGGGGTTGGAGGTATGTCGATCTTGAATGATCTTCTGTGAGATGATACAGAAAGAAAAAAATATACTCATAAACACATAATTGAGAGCATTCAATATGCATACAAATAAAATAGGCTTGAAGTACACATAGAAAAACACTTTTCAAAGCAAATATTTAGAGTGCCATTCACTAGTAATCACAAACTATGTGAAATATATGAAGTAACAAAGAGGGTGTGAATTGCAAAAATAAAGAGAAAATTGTTGAGAAAAAATGACGAAAATTGTACTGCTGTGTACAACTAAGAAAAAAATGACAGCATAGCTTGAATGCAGTACCTAAAATGGTTCTCACTACAACATGACACAGCTGCTTACTAATCAGAAGCTAAGTTTTCATGTCGTTCTTTTAATAGTCAAGAGCACAACTTCAGAGCTGGCTATTTTGATCATATCCAAGTTCATCTAGATATCAGCTATCTGTTTTCAACAGACAATGAATAGTTTAATACGTTACTTGAACACCCTGTTATAATTTCACAGCTCACTGTCTTTTTTTTCACGACATCTGGGCTTCTTGGTGCATTCTCATCAGTTCATGATGTCTCCTCTCCATATCAGGGTCACGATCACTCGACGAAACCTGCATCTTAGAATATTTGGCACGTGCATTCTTAAACCAGACGTACACCACTCGGTTGTTATACTTGGGCTGGTGCCGTCTCCACTCACTGGAGTTCAGTTCCTGTACGTATCTCTCGATGGTTTGTCGATCAGGCCTCGGGTCGATCGCGAACCACGACTGTAGCTTTGGCACTTCGAAGGTAGGATCAATGGTAAAGCGTTTGCGGGGAACCCTGGTGGCTGGAGATGTAGAGGTTTGTGAGGAGTTGGATTGAGGCGACTTCTCTGGTTTGGGCGACTCTGACTGATGTTTGTAAGACTGGGGTGTAGGGGTCCGCCTCTGAGAGGCAGAAGGCGTGGTGAGGGGAGACGGGGTGGGCTTTGGCACTGAGAGGGCACTGTTGTGATAGTCTAACCGAATAGAAGGACTCTCCTTGTGGTGTACAGAGTCAAGAGCTTGCAGGAAATGGTGGTGGGTAAAACCAGGGATAGGCATTGCATGGGCAGCTGCTGCTAACTCGGGGGTCAGCGATATCCCAAACCCAGAGGCAATCTTACGGAGGTCTGGCACATGAAGCGCTGTCTCGGCTTGGTGAGATCCATTGTGTAACCTGCTTGGCACAATCAAACCATTACTTACGATACTGACAGGCTGCAGATGCGGCCGTGCGTGCATGTGTAACAATGAGGGCAAAATGGTTGGTTTAGCTACAGAGGTCGCCACTGACGCAACCTGATTTTCATTGCCTACCGAGTCCTCTCCCTCTGTGATAGGTTCTACTTTCAAATGCAACATTCTTGCTGGACTTCTTCCTGGACTACGGGAAGGACTCTTTGCAGAACTCCTGACTGGGCTCTTTGAAGATGATGCTTCCAAAAGCTCTGTCTTCTCCTCTTCTTCCTGTTCCTCTTCCTGTTCCTCTTCCCCTTCCTCTTCCTGCTCCTCCATCTCCTTCTCTTCTACCACCATGTCGCTTTCTCCTTCATCACTACTATCTTTCATGCTCTCGTCAATCACCAAGTCTTTTGAATTCTTTGCATACACCATGTCCTCTCTCATCTGAGCGATCGCAGTTGATCGCAAGAGATGCCTGTACTTTACCCTGGCGTTCTTAAACCAGATCATGATAGAGGAGTACTGAAGTGGGGTCCCGTTTCGTCGGAAGTCGGAGGCATTCAACTCGGCCAGGTAGACCTCCATCTCTGCCCTGGTCGGTCTGGGGTTCTGCCGATACCACCGCAGAAGGCGAGGGAGCTCCGTGCGAGGGTTGAAGAGCGTACGAGGGCGTCTCCAGTGCTTTGAGCTGATGCGCGGTAGGGCGGAGCTGTCCACTCTGTCCGGGGGTAGGAGGGTGTTGTCGGTAAGGCCATTGTAGATGTTGTACCACTGGTAGAAGGCTTGGATCTTTTCGATGCTGACAGGTTTGTTGTACTTGCCCTGTAAGATCTGTGCTACGGTCACCTGTAGAACACGAAAACAAATCGGGAGAGAAGAAAATATGGTGATAATTGCATCAATATACATCTGAGCTGATCTACTTTATCGTATTGAGAGACAACTGTATCAATCCTTGAAATGCGCAACATTCCTTCTTAAATGCTTGAAAAGTACACAAGAAAATTCAAGTAAAATCATCATCACTCCATCCACATGAAAAGAAACTTCCCCTTCTTTATTGAACAGGTACATGTACTCTCATTCACTTCATTTTGGGAAAACGTTTGGCAATAGGAAAACGTTTGGCAATGGGAGACTTGACATAGTTATCTTCGGAAAAAAACGGAAAACAGACAATTTGTTTGATGCTAGTTTGTTTGTTAGTTAAATGGTTGTTTATCATGTTGCCCATTGTGACCAATTTTGCTGCATTTCCACCTTTTAAAATAAAGTCACACCACCCCCAATCTCGATCAACTATTAATAGAATGAGCATCCCCAGACCACAATTTACTTTTTCACTAATGTGCTCCCCACCTTCCGATCACAATCAACCACTCTTATAATGTATCTCCTACGAACCAATCACAGTTGACTTTGGACTAAAATCCAAAACAACCAATCAATATCTACACTGTAGCTTTGAAGAATGTATCTTACAGCAACCAATGAAACCCAATCATCATTAACCCTCCCCTTTCCCTCTATCGCCAATCAACAACACCAACTGACCACGGGCTATGAAAGAACGGACTTACAACGAACAAAGCGCAATCTATCTCAGAAAAATTGTGTTTCCAATCCATATCCACGGTCAAAAAATTAAAAAAAGTGTCCCCCTTAACCAAGCACCACCGAAAGTCCCTAGATGTACATGTATGTAGAATAAATCCTCAACAAAAACCTCTCACAATCTCCATTGGTAAGATATGTGTTCTCAGCAAGCATTTTTTAAAGAATGTTTCTTGCATTAAAGGCATACAGTTTAAATCTGTGATACGGTACATGGCCCTACGTGTTATCATTGTCAGTGATATGGTGTTATATTGAAGCCCTAACAAAATTGCGCTTCAAAATGATCATGAAGTGCCTCAAAAAAATTTAAAATCTTTAAGTGACCGGTTTTACCATACTCATTTCCCCATTTTTTTTTAAATTTCAATTTCCAATCATAAATATCTTGATAATCAGACAGGAGATCGGCTTGTACAAGTCATGGGGTTCCTGATTGACTTAAAGGTTTATAATTATCATTGCATCATGAGCTAAATGCAGGATTCTGTTTCAGAATCTGACACAAAGCTACCCAATCCCTTTAACCAATCACAATGTACTGTTAACAGAATATGTCTCAAACCACCAAAAAAGAAAATTCTTCAAAAGAATATTTCCTAATAAAAAAAAATACAGTCTTCTTGTATTAAATATGCCCCAGCAAAGAACTGACATTTGACTCGACTCTTGACCTGAAATCGTTTCACAAGACACTAACCTCAGTGTACAATATTAATCCAATGTACAATTTTACATTTAAAATTAAATGAGAGTGGTTTGATTAATGCATTTTTTGCTGGCAGCACAATGTTGATGCTGTTGCCGTAAAAAAGAATCACTTTTATATGTCTCCCAAAAACCTCGCAAGAAAAAATCCAACAAGACAAAGTATGTACATGTAGGTGATTATTAGCTTTCTTTCATTTGATAAGTCTCCCCATAACTGATTGATCAATTGATTTTAAAGATTAAAATATGAATTAACTCCCAAATAACCAACTATAATTCATGTTTGAAAGAACAACCACTCCAATCACAACCTCTCTTTGACATCAGCTAATCAAAAGCTATCTCCCACTAAATAACTTACGTGTACATGCGAATTGTCTGCAGGCAGTTTGGCCATGAATAGGGAAGGCATGCAGAACATTGTAACTAACTTCATGAAGCAAATCATTCAGACATTTTTTTCTTTTACTTCAAATGCAGCCTATGTGCACTCTTGCACAATCTTGTACGACAATCTGCTGTCCATAATTCGTCGGTGTATTTATGGATTTGTCACATCATAAAAACACTGATGAATTGTTCATGTGATCCTAGCAGGTGAACAGATAAAATGAACAAACATCTACATGAGGCCTGTCATCATCGGCTCGAGTTTGCCAAATAACCCGCTACATGTCTCATCCCAAAGCTCGAAATTGCGTCTTCACCAGACCGATAGGCTCATCACAAACTAGTTAGGACGGGCGCAAATTAGCCCGCTATTTCCCACATAGCGGGATAGTTTGGAAACAAGATCAAGATTCCTCAGGATATTTTTTTCTACCCAATATCCCTCTAATTACAACTGCGGGCTGATGAAAACACAAATTAGCTGGATAATTTGCGATCGGGAAAGTTAAACTAGCAGGTTATTTGGCAAACTCGAGCTGTTGAAGACAGGCATTTGGTATCAATGTCAATGGTGGGAGGGGACAGGAAGGGAGCTGAGGAAAGACAGATTGCTACAATAAATTTTGGGTAGACAGGAAAGCAACAAAATAAAAACGTATTGAACTATAGTATTGAACTATAGTATTGAATAGTGGGTTAGGTGCGGTGGGGGTGGGGTCTGTGAGTTCAGAATGCTCATCATATATAATAGTCACTGGTCACTGGTCACTGGTGTAAAATGAAAGGGAAGGGGAGGAGAAGGGGGGGGGGGGGCTGCTACATTTAATTTTACATGACCAATATCCAGGTGGCAAACATCACCTAATAATACTGGAAAGTTTTTGGGCAAGTGATGGCTTAATGAATAACAAAGGAAAGATATTCTAAAAGGGGGAGTGAAGGGCAAAATAACTCACAACAATGACAGATGGACCAAGATATAAATTCAACCATTCCATCCCGAACCCCTCCCCGAGAGGAGGGGGCAGGTCAAATAGAGAAGAAATGAAGGGAGCAAAAAGAGGATAAGCATAAAGAGAAGTGAGGAAAAGAAAAGTCACAAACACTGAAAAGTCAGAGGGAAAACAAACTTGACTAATTGCTTCGGAAATAGCCAGATGTGTATGTACATGCACATGCAATGATCGGTAACTAGTGCTGTAACATCACGGATATCTCCAATTCCGTTTAACCGCCAGTCAAAACCGGACGGTTTTCGGTTAAACGATTTAAAATTTAAAAAAAATAAATTAAAAAAAATTTAAAAAAAAAAAAAAAAAAAAAAAAAAAAAATCGTTTTTTTTTTTTTTTTTTTTTTTTTTTTACCGACTTTGTCGGCAACTTTCATTTAACTGCGAGGTGCATTTAAAGGGGCCGATTTGTGCTTGTGAACTTGTCACAAATAGTAGTAACAATGTTGTTTTTAGAAGAATGTGTAAGATCATTAATGTAAATTAAAAACAGTAGAGGACCTAGGACAGAACCTTGTGTAAAAGTTGGATGAATTATTATTATAAACTACATATTGAGATGATGAGATCTATTACAAAGATTACTTTCAAACCAAGATGACAGACAAATTGGAGTGTTGTTCTAGTTTTGGAGTGGTGAGTCAACACACAGATTACTGAGCTGGGAGACATTGCCAGGCATAGTGCCAGGTGGAGGGGCATAAATCGAAACTTTAAAAAAAAAAAAAAAAAAAAAAATATATAAAAAATTAAAAAAATTTAAAAAAAATCGGGAAAACGAAACCGTCCAATTGAAAACGGAATCCGCCATGGGCGGTCGGATACCGGACGGTTAAACGTTTGACTACAGCACTATCGGTAACAAATCTTCTTATTGTTTAAAAAATCATAGCTTTACACAAGAGCACAGCAGATTTTTTAATCTACTGTATGAAATCAAGTATGAACAATTTGATTTTTGGAAAAACTTATAATCTGAAATTAACGTTATCTAAAAGACCGTTTCTGGAATCTATGGTTCAATCCCAACTAGATTTTTTTTAAATCCAAAGTACAAAGGCATTGAAAACAGAACTGTGATTAAGAAAACATAGGGATGTCACTTTCAAAATAAATTACTATTTGTCCCTATTTGACCAATACAGTTAAATTATCAGTGCAAAAGCCACTTCTCTGATCAGGGAGGCCTTTCCAAATTACACAAATGTATATAAACAAATATTATATTGATAATTCTAAACTGAATCATCTATTCAAACACACCCATATTTAAAAAAAATTTTCTTCAAATATTTGGCAAAAAAAATTTGGGGAGATTTTTTATGATGTACCCTGTACTTGGTTCTACCGGTATTAGAATTTTCTATCAAAGGTTTTGCTTTGTGTTCCTTGACTCTTGAGTGCATGAATTCCCCAAAACAAATGTCAGTATTAAAACCATTGGGCAGGTTGAAAAAAGAAATTATGAAGCCCCCTGGGTTAGTTAAACTCAAGCTTTTGCCATGTGGGTCTTTTGTGACATGAACTGCCTAAACAGATGACTGGTTAAGTCAGTCCTCCATATAAAGCACTAATGAAATAAATCAATCTGTTTTGATAATCATTTTAAAGAAACAAACAAAATTGACTCTACAAAAATGCAAGGATACATAGAACCATCATACAAAAATAATCAGAGGTGAGCAGAGGGGGGTTTCACAAAGATCCTAAGTTGAACTTATCTCTAAGTTGGACTTAAATGGAAAGCAGTTCGCATCTTTGAAAATATTTTGTAAAAGAAAAGATAATTTAAAAGGCATAAAATGTTGATTCAAATCATTCATATTTTATATTACCTGGTATCAAGGAGAGTTCATGTTCTTGATGTGGAATTTATAAAAAGTCTAGAATACTTGAATTTTTGCTTTTGAATACCGTATTTTCCGGCGTAAAGGCCGCAGTATTTTCGGGTGAGAAAAAATCAAAAAGTCGGGGTGCGGCGTATACGCAACAACAACAAAATTCAGCGGTCAAAACATCACGTCCATTTGCACGTATGGGACTATAGGAACGGTAGCATGACTAGACAACGGTACAGGACAATTCTAGAATAACTCCACACAACTTACCGACAATTTTATGTTGCATAGTTGACATGAAGACGAAAAAACTTATTTTTCTAATAAAATCTGCCGATAGATCTAGATCTAAGTCCGTACCATTGCATCGCCAAAAAGTAAACAAAGGGACAGGCTGTTACTTACGGAGCTAGCTGCCGCGCAACGCAACTGCGCAGGTCGAAAAATGATATTTCGGATTACACCGCACATCGAGGAAGGGGTATTGTAGGATACCAAATCTGCGTACGATACAGTACTAGCTTAAAAGTCGATGAAGATCTGCTAAATTATGATCATTTTTGAGGTTAACTTCTTGTTGATTTATAAGAATATTGATGAATTTGGTATAGTTTGTAAAAAAAAAAGAGTGTTCTACAAGAAAATTACGATCATTTTGTTTGGTATGTTTTTTTTTTTCTCTCTCTTTTTTTTTTTTTCCTCTACGAAATGTCAAAGTTGGGGGTGCGGCCTATACGGCGGTGCGGCCTTTACGCCGGCAAATACGGTATATCTTATTTTAAGGCTACAAATAGCTCTCCAGAATTTTTAAGTCCAACTTAGAGTTAAGTTCGACTTAGGATCTTGGTGAAACATCTCCCTGATGTATTAAGCAAAAGCCAAAAAGTATAAGGAGAGGTGGTGCAACATTGAAATAACGAGATGAATGGAGTGCAAAATTGAATTGAGGTATTGTCTAACCTGTGAGAAGGGGCATCCATGGCTGACGAGAAGCGTAGGACCTCTCTTCTCTAGGACCTGCAGGAGTTTGATCCGTAGCTCCTGCACCGGATGAGCAGTCCTGCCGACGCCCTTGCCCTCTCCACCCTTCATCCTTCTAGCCATCATCCCGAAAGGAAGATCGAGGCCTCGCCGTAGGAAGAAGCTATTGCCAAGGTTGCCCAGGCTGAGGAAACTGCCGTTGGCGTTGCCTCCGACCCTGCTGCTCCGGATTTGGTCCTCTGGCGTTTGGTTCTGGCAGTTGGCACTTGAGGCGTCACTGAGAGAGAGTAGAGAACTTGTCCGTCTTGATCATTTCAAATAATGAGATGGAGCGCTGGGTGCTAGCTAGTATTTACATGCGGCTCTACAACACTATGGATGGATTACTTAAGTAAAAGTAATGGCTGTCCAATTCTAACCCAGCGGCATTTGAGCTCTTAAAGATCACATCAACGTACACAGTTCCATATTACCTCGCAAAACACTACCGGCAGTACATGTTATTATCAATTACTAATTGTTGTCAAATGAAATTGAGATCCTACATTTGTAAGTATGCACGTAGGGTGAAACTCAATAGTAGTTTCACAAAAACTTCATCTCACTTTGAGTTCTAAGAATCACTAAAGAAACACAGTTACATGAAAAACAGATAATATACCTGGTACATGTATGGAATTATTAGTCAAAGCGCTAAAAAAAACATGAATAAATGAGTAACAAAGTCTTGTAAACTCAATTAGCCACGCTCTGTGCGTATCTATAAAGTACCAAAGATGAGCAAAGACAACCAATTTGAAGAAGTCCCTTTTCAAGTCAAACTTTTCCTGTTCCTCAAACAACCTTGATTTGTGACTATACACGCATGGACTGCAGAAGCCTAAATAAATACAAGTCTGTGACTCTGTTTGCTAGCAAAACACATTGATCACTTTGACAGCTTCATGGTAATAGATGGATCTTTGATGCTGCAAAAAGAAATTGATTCTTGGTGGTTCCCGATGACGTGAATGATACGTCTTCAACTTGTCCTACACCACCCACGTGGGCGATTCAATTCAGCAAGGGAGCATTGAAAAGGGTCGTAATCCATTGTTAGCGCTTAGGGTTTATTCTACCCCGGCAAAAAACATATTGTAGCTTGTACAGTTTTGTAGAAAGAAAGAATGAAGAAAAAAATCATATCTCCATCATGCCACTTTTCTTTCATCTTGTTTACGCCGGAAGAAATTACTCGCTTTAAAGTTCGGCACTAATGCGATAATCCATCTGAACCCTAACATTTACTAATCTTCTTAAACGGTGAACGATGGATGGGAATATACTGACACTTTCTCCCCCCCCCCTCTCTCTCTCTCTCTCTCTCTCTTTCTCTGTCTCTTTCTCAGCATATCTTGCTCTCTTTCTCTCTGTTTTTTTTAAAGTCTATGTTTCCCATTCTCACGTTCTGTCTAGATGTCTACTTCTGCTGTATACCTCTCTACATCTCTTCCTACCTCTATCTCTCTCCCTCCAACTCTCTATACTCCTTTTCTCTTCATATACATGTATATATCTCTCTTCATGTATCTCCTATTTTCCGCTTGGGGTTTCCCCTTCTTTCCTTTGAACTTTTATTTCCCCTCTACATGTGTTTTTCCCTTTCTCTCTCTCTCTCTCTCTCTCTCTCTCTCTCTCTATCTTTCACTCACACACAAACACACACATAGGCACACTTCTATCCTCATTATTTCTCAACTCCACCTCTATCAACATCCCTCCGCACCAAGAGGAAAACAAACCGTTGTGACATCATCATCATCATCATCATCACGCAACAAGTACAGAGTACAGCCACTTCCCCCATCGATCAAAATCCTCGGAGTGAGTGGGCAAAAGAACAGAACTCTTCTCTCTTCAGTCACGTCAATCGCTAATCACTCTCATCTATCATACCATGCACGTGCCAACAGATCTACGGATCAGCACTTGCTTTGCGCTACCCTAACCATAACGCAGAGTATTTCTTCCTAAGAACCCAATCCTAGCAAATCCCAGCTCTTGTTTTGTTTGTTTTTAAGCATTTCTTCTAAACTCCATTCTTTCATGCTCCTTGCAAGAAACGATGTCAAGATTACGACGCAATGCTATGACGTGGCAGGAAATGTGGTTGATGAAATTCCCCGTCATTCGGCCTTACAGGACTACCAGGGATATTAGCATCACCAATTTCATTATTTAAAAAAAACAATAATAATTCAGGAGAAAATTTAAGTAACTATAATCAATTAACAAAAAGTCTTCCAAAACTAACTTCCTTCTTACAAATGTACTTATTACAGTAGAACAGATTATTGTAATGTATTTTGTTTAGAGTTTTGTCTAGAAAAAAAAGTTTTCAATAAGGGTATAAATGTAGATAGAAACTTGTTACGGCTATTGCCAGCTTCCTTTTCTTCTGCTTGTACATTACTCTGCACAATCAACATTTTGAGGGTTAAGTGACACAAAAACGTAAATTCCTGTTTTGCCAAAATGAGTATTTGATGTCAAAATGTTCAGAAAAAATGTGGGCATTCCAGGAAACACAAAGACTTAAACTCCACCCAACACCCCATTGAAGTCAATGACTCGTAAACCACTTTTTCTCAAAATGGGCAAAATGGAGTTACGTCTTTGTGTCACTGACCCCTCGATTAGAACTTAATATCATTCTTGAGATCAGTCACACTCACCTTGATAATACAGATATCTTGAGTGTGATGTGGGAGAGAAGATCTCCAAAGAGTTGTCCTACCGATGACTGTTGATTGTCTGTGATTGATGCAAAAGGCAAGGCCTTCCAATTCCGTACCTGAATAACACCTGATTAGAAAAAATGATAAGGAAAGCATTTGTTTATTGGTTTGAATCATTATGTCACCAATGCATCTTACTTGTTATTACATTTTGAGTTGTCTCTTATATTTCTATATATATATATATTTGATATATTCTGATGTATATTTTTAATATGTTCAATTACAATTTTGACAACACATTGACACAATAGGAATATGAATAAAATCACTGCGTTCAATTAGATACTTGTTTCAAAGATGGATTAATTTCTTACATGTAAGTGAAAATGAAAGTGATGCATGGATTTAAAATGCTCCAGGGCGATTCTATGTAATGTATCGCGTTCAAAATATGTCTTTACCATTTATTTCATTGGAAGAAAAATAAAATATTTTGATATTTTTAATTTTTAATTTTTTTAATATTGGCATTTATATAGCGCTCTTACAGACATACATGTGTATCACAGCGCTTTACAACATATTATTATTACCCCGGTCATCGGATTCAGGCTTACCCGCACACAAGGTATGCACATTCTCCACTCCCTGGGGAGCATTCCAGCCAGTCGCCATTTTACAAGCGCCACTTGCTAATCAAACCACATTAGCTTTCGCATCCTACCGGGTACCCATTTTAACACCTGGGTGGAGAGTGGCAAATGTAGATCAATGTCTTGCCAAAGGACATTAGTGCCGCGGCGGGACTTGAACCGCGGACCTTGTGATCCACAGTCCGGTGACTTATCCACTCGACCACGACACCTGATATAACCACAAATGTACATTAAATGATACATGTAGCAGAAATAATCATTAGTCAAGGGTCATATTGAGAGATTTTCATTTTTGAAATGGATGTGTTGTTTAGGACACACTGCACAGAATCACCCTTCAATATATTTTGTTTTAAATAGATTTTGAAATACAAGTTCAATCCGTCTATCTTGCCGTTATTTGTTCCTTACATGCATTTACCAACTGCACATTTATAGCAAGATACCATAAAGAGCTTCAATTTCTGCTTTTCAGAAAACCTTCAAATACTTCATGTTCTTTTCATTTCTTATTTTAGATTCTTCTTTTTATCATAGCAATTACATATTTTATATTTTTATCTTCTAAAATTGTCACATATCTATTTATCTATTATTTCATTCATTCATATACTAATTTTTTTATTTATTTCCTTTTCCTCTTTATTCTTTCTCTTTCTTGAGTACCGGTACTTTCTTTTACTTCCTTTTTTGTTTTGTGTTGATCCGGCTGTATTAATGTACAATAACATTGAATATTGCCTTAAGTCACAGCTTCACCCCCCCCCCCCCCTATTAAAAGTGTTTTTTTGCCACTTAACTGACTCAGTGTGACGTAAAACTGCCAATTTCTTTTTACAGGATCAGATATTTTTAGAAAGACTCACAAGTAAATGATTATGTAAGTCAGATTTAAAATAACAATCATTTTAATGCCTAAATCTGTGTCCAATAAACCTGGAGATTACACAATTTTGATCCGTTCTTGTTGATATTTTTGTCCCCTTCCAGCATCAAATCTCAAAATCAGCTGCATAATTTCAATAATTTCAGCCATATTGTATGCATGCACTGCTAAATTATTCAGATTGCTAATCTCCAGGTACATTCATTGCGTCTTGTTTACAAACAAACAGGCTGAACAATGACGTCATAAGTTTGATTGTAAGCCAGGCATAAAAAAAAAATGGAAATCACTTCACTTTGCTTGCGTGGTGTAGAAGGGAGTATGATCTTTATCTCCTTCTTTACGATGTATCATTTATTTCAATCATATATAAAAAGACCAAAATAGAAACAGTTTCCAAATTCATATCCAGATATCTTTTTATCTGACTTTCGTAAAACCCTGACTGCAACCTTGATTTATTTTTGTTGATATGCTTACATGATCTATTATACATATGACATCAAACTTTTTTGGAGGGTTTTGTAATGATCAATAATTTGGTTCTCCTTCTCTCCAACAACTGGATTGCAATACCAAAGAGGAAATGCTAATTACATGTATATTACACTGACAAAATTCTGTATTTCAAAAGTTTCCTTCTGTTAAAGTTGACAAATAATCTTCAGGACTGTTATATTTCATATATTGTTTTACAAATTGAATGTTTTCCTTTCTTTTAATCAAGATTAATTCAGTCTGCTAACAAATGCACTTTGAAAACAACTATCACCAGTTTATCTTTGTTGCTGGTCTTTTCTGTCTGGCTGGCTAATTTTTGTGAAAAAAATTCCCTGAAACCAAGTACAAAGGTACACTTAACAGGCATTTGGGGATATAACACAAAAAAACCTTGTAAAACAAAGCTCTCTTTTAAAGTTTGTCCAAAAGCTTGCCATAGTTAAATTGCAAATCCTTTATATCTACATGTACATAAATAAAGCTTGTACCGGTAAGCAAACATCAAGACCAAAGCCTCCATTTGCTAAATGTCTCTCTGCCCTTTCCAAAAGGCTTATATGTAAAGTTACATTAAAGGCAGACCAAGAAAAGAAACAAACATCACAAGTCATAATGAGCAGATAGATATGGGTACATGCAGAATAGGGCCTGCAGAATTTTGAATTAAATTAGATCTTTTCATGCTTTTTGTCGGTGTTTTGATACTATTGTGGGTGCATGCAGTACTTTACATGTATGTACAGTACATGCCCCATTTTCAAGTTGGTAAAAAGTGTACAAATTATTATCACTTCATTTCTGTTCATTAGGAACATGAACAAATTAATTTTACATTTAAATGCACAACTGCTTTTGTAAGGCCGATTATCGTGACAATGTTGATTTTTGTGTGAAAGGGAATTATGGGAAGGATTACTAATGAAAGGTGAAGATGCAAACAAGAAAAGAATATCCATAAATTGTGGGCCTATGGTGTATGTGAATGGATGAACCTACATTTTTCCCAAAGACTTCTCTCGCTGTTAGTACCTGTATTTTATTCAAAACTGTCAAACTTTCAAAAACGAAAAAAGGCTCCACTATAACATACAATTATTGGGCTTCTGCATACAGAAAGTCTGAACTCCTTGTTTCCACCCTGACAAATTGATTTGATAACATTTAAGTTTACACTAAGCTTAAGCTGAATTAAAACATATTTGATGTTTACTAAATTACCATTTACACTGTACACTGTATGTTACATGTCTCTCCTAAAAAACCTCTTTTATTGCAGATAATTTACATTTTACATTAAATGCGCTCTGCTGCAAAATGAAAGACTACATTAGGTAGCTACGCTAGAGCCACAGAAATGACGGTATGTAAATGTAGGGTATAATTGAACTTGGGAGGCTACATAATAGCAAGAGTTTTAATCTATTAATATGGTCTCTTTCTTGCAGGTTCCATGCAAGATGTCCTTGGCCATCTCATATTTTTTTGTTGATGGATTAATTACTATCTAAAGAAAGAGCAATAACAAGAAATTGAATTTTACACATAAAAGAACATCACAATGAAAAGCATATGACTACTCAACACTTTCTCCTTCTTTGTTGACCTTAATAAACCTACAGAGAAAGCTGAAATGAATCAGACAACTTAATCCATTCATCGCGGATAGCAAAGTCGTGCATCATGCATAGACAAGATTTACATCACACAGTAGTGAAACCGAATATTAATCCAGTAGGGTTGCAGGCAGCCTTTAACTTCAACAAACCTTTAATAATTCACAGGCTCCTGCCTCTGTTGGCTTTAATCCTCTATGTGCAAAGTCAACAGGGCTTTTTAATCCTCGCCCGCATGAAAGGCAGGCTTCTGCACGCTTCCCTATAATCCCTCCCAATCTACAATTGCTAATCCCTAATCTAAAATTCCATCTCTGAAGTAAGTCGACTTTGTGCCAGGCACACATCAAGAGTTATTAGAAGGGTCTCCAAGCATACATACTTCATTTATTACTGCACAGGGATATCTTATGATGTAGGTTTTATCATAGAATCTTTTGTGGATTGTTATGGCAGATGACTTGGGGCTGAATACGAGTTAAATACTGCCTTTTGGAACAGAATATATTCCTAATGCATAAGAAGCAACCAAAAGCTACACGTACATGTACATGTACATGTATGGCGTATGTACATGTGAATCACTAAAAGGATTGGAGATTATTAAGTAACTTAAAGGGCAAGTCCACTCCAAAAATAACTTACTTTCAATAGAAGCAGAAAATCAGACAAATCAATCAAAAAATGTTTGAGCAAAATCGGATAATTAAAATAAGAAAGTTATGAATATTTAATGACATGAAAAACTTTGAAAATCACTAGACAAAGTGGCAACCTACTCATGAGTCTGTGACATCATTGCCTCACTATCCACTAGTTGTTTTCTTTATATTGACAATATTATTTTCCCACATTCCTCCTTAGAAGCTTATTTCCTCACTCCAGCATCCAAGTTATATTGAAATATGTTTTTGTGTGAATGCACTACTATTGAATGGTAGTTAAATCATGAAAAATGTGAATTTTGATAAACTATTAATATAAAAATCAATGATTATGAATATACAATATTCAGAAAATATTTTTAGTATTAATTCTTAAAAGTTCCTAAAAGTTTTTGTGAAATGTCATGCACACAATATGATACAAATCATATAATCTGGGCAAAGGCATGGGAAAACCAATTTTGGGGGATAAAAAGGGAAATTAATGGGATAAAACTACAAAAACAATTGATAAATAGTGAAATAGTGAGGCAATGACGTCACAAAATGATAACCAAATTGGCAGTTTGTGTAGTAATTTTCATTGTTCCATAGTTTTTCAAAAATTCATAACTTCCTTATAAATTATCTGAATTTACTCAATTTAATTTATTCTGTTGATCTTGTTTTTTCCACATCTATTACAAGCAAATTATTTTTGGAGTAGACTTAGTCTTTAACTTTTAAATTGTATTTGAATCCAGTTTCATGATGTAAAAATAATTCAAAATGTTCAGACATCATGCATCAATGATAAATCCTCAAGACTCTGATTTGAAGGACTGTATAGTAGCTTATCTACCTAATGTGATACATACATGTATAGTAGATGCATTCTAGGAAAAACTAAACCAGTCACTGAAAGCAATTATGCACATGTTTACCCGTATCAGGAAACATAATACTTATGGCATTAAAATAGAAGGAAAAAATTTACTACAAATTTATTATGTTATGTACATGTTACGGTAGTCAGAAATGTTTGCCATTACATGTTTTCAATTGAAAAAAATTACAAAGCTTCAACTGTTTGTATTTTGAGAGAATTAGTGTGTACACTTAACACTTTTGAGAACAACAGCCGGTTCTTTCAGAGGGCCAACGTACTGAACTTATTTGATAAGACAACAAACCGTAAAAAATTAAAAATGAAGCTAAATGGATGACAATCATTGATGGTACTTGATCACACATACATGTACATGTATGACTAAGAATGACGTGTATTCAAAAGGAGAACACATCAGTCCTTAAATTTCGTCATTTTTAGGGCAAGGCCAGTTTGGCCTCGAGTACCTCATATTTTTAAGGGCACCAAGGCCAAAATATTTTTACAAAAAGGGCATCGAGGCCAAAATATTTTACAAAAAGGGCATCAAGTATGAGGCCAAAAAAATTGATTCTATTTTTGTTAGATGTCATGTGTATTTTATGAAACTTGTGCAGGATCAATTTCCCATGACTTTTAGCACCAGCTTCTTCACAGAATGTATAGAGGTCTACGGTACATACAAACAAGCACTGCGCGTAGCCACGGGGGGGGGGGGGGGGGGGGGGGGGGGGGGGGGGCACGGGGGGCACGTGCCCCCCTAAAATTTCCAGGATCGGTTGAAATTTTGTAGACCCCTTTTTTGACCTCGATCGATTACATGTATGTGCCCCCCCCCCAAACACCAAACTCTGGCTACGCGCCTGCGAACAAGGCGGCGGCCCGCAAGCCTTAGATTTAGCAGCCAGGAGCAAGGGGCAATTTTTTTTTTAAGTTGCCCTTTGCCACGGGAATTTACCCGAGCAAGGGGCAATTTTCCAAAAACAGATAGGCCGCTTATCTAATCATAAGTTCAAAGAGAGTCTACAAATGTTAATTTCATAATGTGAATAGATCGAACGATCAATTTAATAACTTTTTAATCTTAACAATATGAACACGAAAGATTGATTAAGAACATCAAACTTGCACATTAAACAGTATTTTAAAGTAACTAAAAATATTGATGAGCAAATGAATAAATAAATTGTCAATTTCACAAACATCGAAAGTCAGAAGGACTTAATTGGCAAGTTTACCGGGCCGGGTATTCCAAATCAAAATCGCACCTCACACACAAACCTTCCGCCACTCTCTCGGTAGTAGGAGCAAATTTGAAGAAATTATCTTTTTAACTGTTGTATAGAAAGGTCTACATGGCCTAACTAATGAAATAAGATGTAAAAATGTCCTTATAGACATTCGACAGCTGAAAGTGACACGCTCAGCTCAGTTGCGTAACGTGCATTCACGAAACCAAAATCGTTCCTTGCACACACACTCTCGCCACTTTTGGTGGGAAGCTGTCGGGCTGGAAGTTTGCCAGCGAAACCGATGCACCCTCGGAATTTTACCGGGACTCGAAACGTTCGTCTTGGGAAGCTGGCGGGGTAGCTTTTTGAAGCGAGGTCGGCTGGTGGCAAAATGAGAGTAACTACGATCGAGAACATCGTAGGTGTTCTTAACTTATTAATAAGATAATTCTAAATTCTATTTGAGATAAAATAATAAACTAGACTAGGCCTACAAACAAACCTCGACAGATCTCTAATGACTATTTGAATGCTTGTTTATTTCTCCATTTGACGATTTGTTTTCTTGATCCTGGCCTTCGATTTGTACGTACGTGCGTGCGTCAACAGCATGCACCATATGCATATCATGCGATCGCATAATATGAACGTACGTACGTACGTGCGCTAGCGCATTGCCTATATAATAACAAAGGGCGCATTTTCACGGCACTTGCGCCTTATTAAAGCACTAAATACGAAGCTAGAAGAGAGCTCGTGGGCGGCAAACTGTTCGTGATTCGTGTATTTTTACTGTTCTAATAATTTATGGGCGTATTTTCACGGAAAACACTTGCGCCTTGCCTTCTAGTTTTAGATGATTATGGGCGCAATTGGTGGTTTTATGTGCGCAAATTTAAAATAAAAAGGGCACGTCCAGTTGGAAAAAGAGGCACGTCGGCCAGTTTGAAAAAAAGGGCATGGCCTTTTTGGCCGTGAATATATCTTTTTTTGGGAGGGCACCGCGGCCAGTCATAGGGGCATCGACGGCCTGGCCGTCGATGGCCGTCGATTAATTTAAGGCCTGACACATATCAAATTCTAGGTGTTCCACAAGAACCATCTTGTGATTGCAAGAGGGGCATCCCTTAAGAGCAAACAAGTAAAGCAGAATAATCAGAGAAGTAGACTAGTTAAAGTTTGAACAAAATTGGACACAAATAAGAAGGTTATGAATTTTTGAAAGTTGTAAGCACTATACAATTGTATGGGCATTACAAATTGGCTGAATCAGAAATGTTATTGTGAGTGCCGGACAACTTTCTCATTTGTTCCAACACACAAAATGTTTTAAATTTCTATTTTAAAAAAATGTGTGACTCAGGAGGGTCTTGTCCCTTTGGAGGACCTATAGTAATATACTTTCCATAATATATTTTTAGTAGTGCCCCAAGAAAAAAGGCACCGTGGAGAAAATCAGAATTGTTATATATTTTTGTACACAGCAAACGGGAGAGTTGTCTATGACTATGTCCCAATCCACTGAAAGAATTGCCAATTTGAAATTGGCATAGCTATAGTGATGTCATATAGCAAACATTCATAACTTTCACATTATTGCTCCTAGGTATTTCAAACTGTCGCCATTCTATTTCTCTTATTTTTCTACTTTCATACAAATAAACTTGTTACAACTTACAAGGGATGGATTGCCCTATAACACAATTCTGGTATCTACAAATACAAAAGTTTTGGTCTGAGTTGTTACCTGTTGCATTTTTCGCTCTTTCCGGTGGGTAATCCAGCTTGGATAAGGCTACCCTGACAAGATCTCTGAGTTGTAACGTTGATGGCACGATGGCATATCCCTCTTTCCTCTTCTCCACCTCCTCTCTCTTCTTAGCATCCCCACCATCTTTACCGGGCGGGGTGTCGAGAAGCTCTACGATGCAGTGGACTGGAAGCATCTTACCTCCTGGGAGCAATGAAAGAGAAAGGAAAAGATGATGCGGTTATAAATACGTAACTCTTCGACCGCTTTGGTCAACGTTTTGAGAAGACAAAGATCAATTCACAAAGACCTATCAAATTCACAATGAATGAGGCACCATGTATCTACAGATTCAAAATAGATGCTCCCAAGACTTTGACAGTCAAGATGTACAGTATCATCAAAGTTAAACAAACCCTGATCTATAAAAAATAAAAAAAATGTGTTGGACTCTGACTAAGACATGGGAAAGCAATCAGTGAATCCAATTCGTAAACCACCTTCCAGAAAGGATCATATTTATATTTAAATAAATGTTCAAATTCCTGGTTGACTGTACAGTGTACATGTATGCAATAGAATGATGACTGACTGCTCTGACCTGCGTGCTTACTTATGGAACTATTAAAGTGAGGCAGAGAAAGCTTTTTCTCGCAACACAAGTGTATCTGTGTGTAAAGAGCTTATCAATACTGAGACCCCATTATTTTTAAGATGTCCAGTTGAGATCTTCCTGATATAATGTACAAAGAATCCTTTTCACTGGCAACCTCGTGCACAATGAAACAGTTAGAGATAATCCATAAAGACCCCTCTATGAACACAATGGAGATTAATGTGGGATTATCCCAACTAGTGGCAGCTAAAGAGGGAGGAATGAACCCACTGATGGGGATTAAGATTCCTTACCAATGGTACAAAGAGATAGAGGAAATTTGCAGGGTTTAGCATTCTTGCAGCTTTATTTCCTTGTGTATTGGCTGAGAATAGAAAGGTGAACAAATTTCATTTTTAATTCTCCTGATAATGCCAATGATGTTTTATTTTCCCTTGAAATTAACAGACATCAAGCTATTACACAGACATTAAAGCTAAACTTTAGTACTGGTAATGCGATTGCATTGTGAAAGAAAAGGTGTGAAAGGATCAGAAACAGTTGATCATGTAGCATGTAAGTATTGGTGTGCACTGCAAGGTTCTGGAGTCATCAAAATCATAATAAATTTGACCGAGTCTTGGTAAAGTAACAAACACTCACATAGAAAGCTATATATGGGACAACACACATCGTGTCGGGGATGGTACTACCTTGGTTTCCTTGTCTTTCTATGCTCATTACTCAGCCAGTATACATTTTCTTCCAAAATTGTTTGGCACATGTCATTTATTTGTAATCTTGAACATTCAGTGTAAGTTTCGTTTGATTCTGTGAGAATTATTTTTATTTTTTTTACCAGTACTGGAGTTTATCTTTAACTCAGGGGTGATAGTGAGCACTAAAAAAAAAGGTTTTTTGTTTTCCCCTCAACCACGCCCCCTTGAGTAAAAAAAAAAGAAGAGGATTCGAGGGGGAAAAATGGCATGTATCAACATTCCCGCCTTTCAAGTAAAAAAAAAAAATGGACAAAAATAGGGCAAAATAGGGAAGAGTAGAGAAAATAAGAGGGAAATCGGGAAAATCAGGATAAAATATGGAAGAAGAAAACAAATTGGTAAAAAAAAAAAAAAAAAAAAAAAATCTGTATTTTTTTTTTATTTTTTTTTTTAATAAATCGGGAAAAAATCGGGGAAAAAAAAAAAAAAAATCGGGAAACCGATTTAAATCGGGTTTTTATCAGGCCTGTTAACTGGTCAATAACCCATTTACCATTTCATCTGTTTAATACAGCGTATGTGGTAGACTGTGTAGCTTAAAAACAAAACAGTTTCATGCATGTACAAAAACTATTACAATTGCATCTTTCTTCTGCTGTTTACATATCAAGGCATCTGTCAATTTCCTGATTCCCAGCTGTGGAAATATACTGTACAGTATAATAGACTAAATAGACTACAAAAAATAACTCAAATGAGGAACTGCATACTGTACATCTGTATTATTACAGCATTGTACATATTTGAGGTATACACACACAAAATTATAAATGGTGTATTAGACAACATGGTTTGCAGCAATAAGCAGAATCGCTGTGTAAAAATGAACATTAGACTTCAAATTACATAACAATACATGTACAGTCTTACACATTGGTAACAAATAAAAATGTAGGGAGCACATACCTGTAGACCCCTACACATGTACTAATATGATACATAAAAATAAGATGATTTGAACTAACATGTATCTAATTCTTGTTGCTGGTATATATGACTGAAATGAATCTATTACCAGTCTTGACTCTAGATCCAACATATTCTGGTATGAAATGTATGGCCTTGGCAAGCATACCAGCATCTAAATAGTGATACAGTATGTATAAAGTTTACAATGAAACCAACCTTTTAAGACATTTCATGCACTACCAGTAGTCAATTAGAATCCTTGAATAAGAATATGTTGATGCTCTGACATATTGAATCATCTTCTCAATGCACATCACTATTAAACATTTGATTGAATTATTTGTTATCACTAATTTTTGTTATTGCTTTCTCGATTCAGAGATTTTAATGCACTCACTTAATGATTTTTCAAATTCCCTGACACTCCCTAGCATAATTATGACAGATGAGACATGTTCAGTACAGGGTTAATTTTTGCGATTGATTTCAATCGCAAGTTTGTACATAGAGGTAGGAGACTGCAAACTTGCGATTGATTGAAAGACTTGCGATTGATTTGGATCAATCGCAAGTCGTTGTAAGTCGGGGCCCCGGGCATGAACAAACCAATCAAGAATTTATATTAAGACAAATAGCTAAGAATCGGTCAGTCTGGAGTCAGTTTGGCAGAGTGACTGGGGTGTCAAACTTAAATTCATACATGTACATGTACAGTGTATCTTTTCAAATATCCTAAAATGAATTACTGCAGGTTTAGAGAAGATGCTACTGAAGATATTCCTCTAATAATCGATTGCAACTTGTGAAAGATTAATAGCAACATGCAAGGTGTATGGACACATCAGCTTCGATGGTTATACAGGTCATTCTGCGGTTTTGTATTCCTCAGAATTTATGATTAGTGTGAACAACAGGGAATTTTTTCAAGTAACAAATGTTCTGGAATATACCAAATCTTTCTTACAAATGACTAAGCCTATACAAATGACTCACTACAAGCTAACTTAAAGGGGAGATCAACGAGACAATAGTAATACCAATTTATTTAAGATTACCCTTACAAATCATTCTCTATATATCAAGAATAATCTAACCTTTCTTTGGTACAAGGGAAGCCAAGCCCACCTGAATACCCTCTCCAACTGTCAATTCAGCTCAGAGTTTACGAGCCACAAAGGACGGTTTTATCCCATAAAGTGCATTACACACTGAGAGATATCAGGCCTCCGATAAAGGGAGAAACTGGGGGAAAAAGAAAGAGTAATGATGCAAAAATGGTAGCTCTGGCTCCCAGCAAATAATGCTCCCACTCTGCACGCTCCAAGAGGATTTTCTGATTTAAGAGATTACAAATCTGAGTGGGATTTTTCTGTTATAACCGGAGCGAATAAATCGCTTGTACATGAAAGGATGAAAGAAAATAACTTGAGCAGCATTATTCGAGGAGAAGTGCATGTAGTGATGGAAATGGATTATATGAATGCAGCAGTTCATAAAAAAGGGATTTCGGATTAGGTCATACAGGCAGATATAGCACCGGGATCACTTTAATAACAAAGAGAGGTACGAGGGAGAGAGAGAGTGGGTGAGAGAAAGAGAGAGAGAGAGAGTGGGTGAGAGAAAGAGAGAGAGAGAGGGGGAGCGAGAGGGAGAGGGGGAGAGAGAGGGAGAGGGGGGAGAGGGGGGAGAGAGAGAGAGAGAGAGATAGAGAAAGGGTAGGAGAGAGAGAGAGAGAGAGAGGTAGTTTTTTTTAAATAGGAACTGCACCTGGCTTTAATAAGGATCTAAAAACAGAGGCAAATCTCTTGTGCAAAATGCATCTATGGATGTGGATTAAGGACTAAAAGATTAAATTAAAGACTTCTTAGCTCTTTCAATGAGATGAAATATTCCTTGATTCAAAGATAAAGAGATTAGTGAAATCCTTCGCAGCAAAATGCGCTTTCCCAATGTCTCTTGTTCAGATTCTCCTTCTTTCTTTTCCCTGACCCCCCTCCTCTTTCTCTCCTTGACCCATCTTCCCTCCCCTCTCTCTCTCTCTCTCTCTCTCTCACTCTCTCTCTCTCTCTCTCTTTCTCACACTCTTCCACCATACTTTTCTCTTTTAGATCATCAATTTTCTTCTTTGTAGGCTACATGTAGTGTACATGTACATGTACATACCTATCAAGTCAGTGAGAATACATTTAACAACATTTTTACATTCTATTACTACCAAGATCCCTACGCTGCTCCCTATTGCTAAACACCATATGCATCCATCAATTTGGTAAAGCCGGAAGATGCCACTTGAAAAGGGTATTCAGAATACATCCCCAATCTTGTTAGCGACTAACCCATTTCAAATCAATCCACACAGAATAGATCTCTTTTCCTCTTAAATCCATCAAAGCCACCCAATCTTGCCTCCCAATATCTCCCTTGTGACTTTATTCCCTAGCTTGCTCTTTTTTTTTCTTCCTGATCTATAAAATCTCTCTTCCCCCCCCCCCCCCCCCTCTCTCTCTCTCTCTCTCTCTCTCTCTCTCTCTTTCCATCCTCCTCCTTCCCCTTTTCACTTTCTTTTGCAATTTATATGTTAATTTGGGCTTCATGAAACATTTCTGAAATCGACATGTAGACAAAATAATGTTAAACTTTAATAGGACAAGCACATGATGCAATAATATGTTGTCTGTTTGGAGCAAGAAGGGCATCAACTCACCATTGCACACACGGTTAACGCCCTTCTTGCTCCCAACAGATGGTGTTTGAATATGTATTAATGAAGAAGTAAATTGTAAATTGTTCATTCTGTGTTTTTATTGAAATGCCTTACGCTACGCTTCAAACATTTTGTAATTCCTTTGGGGGAGGGGGTTGTAACATGCACCAACCCATACCGAAGGTAATGTGTCATCTTTATTTTGATGAAATCACACCCATACCCTTTCACCTCTTCACTCACTCTCTGTCTATGTTTATCCCAACTCTTTACCACCCATCCATTTAACTACCCAAGTCTATCCCTTAATCCAACAAAGTCAAGTGCACATCTTTCCTAATTCAAAATAGATCGTCCCTTCGGGTAGCTTAACAGAAAGCTGGCTTTACATGTATATCCTTCTCTCTCCTTTCTTAAACTTCTCCCTTCTCCTTCTCCCTCTTGCCCGTCCATTTCACTGCCTCGATTCCGGGGGACTGTGTGAAAATTAGCTGTGATCGGGGGTGATTTCGTAGCCAATTTAGGTGGCTAAGTCGAGTCAACATTAGCGTTTATCCATTGGAGATGGAAGGAGAGACGCCACCCAAATTGAATGATCACGTCATCCATCTAGCCAGCTAGCCAGGGTTTTGGAGATAGATACTTTTTAGTACATTCACCTGACAGTCCGTCTAGACTTTGGCCATTCAGACCCTGATTTTATTGGAAAAATAACTTCCTAATTCCAAGCAAATCATCAAATTTTGAGAGAAATTAAACAAATTAATGTAAGGTTTTAATCAGATCTAGTTAAATCAAGATTCTTGGTTAAATTGAAGAACTGCGAACAGTTTGGGGGAAATAAGCAATCATCCAAACACCATTTATTTCAAAGATGGATTTTGAGTTTCTGACCATCTTGAATACTAGCAGGTTTATATCTCATTTGAGAAACATGACATGATGTGTATGGTATACATTAAAGGTACTATGTCCCATTTGCAGGCCAAAAAAAAGGAAAAAGTTAAATTCCAACTGCATTTGAAAGATAATACTAATTTAGAACTTCCCTAAATAAGGTGGGGCTTGAAAATGTCTTTAAGTGGGAAAATAACGACTATTAGTTGTCAAATCGACTTTAGGGCTATAGAGCCCAAAAGTAATAGTCTTGATTTTCAGACAATTGTACCGAATGGTCATACGTTTTATGCTGCGCAAAGATTCAATCATTTTAATCTTGGCCATCACAAGAAGTGGGTTATTGATGTAGACAAATGCTCATGTACCCTTTACAACTCTTTTCATGTATGTTATTACCAAAGAAGAAAAAAAGCCAGTCAGTCACTCAATAGTGTCTGACAGTGAAGTCTAGCAAGTAAACGGGTTTCCTTGCATAATTTGAATATGAGGACACTGCTAACATTTAAATTTCACAGATATGACATACATGACATATTCATAATTCCTGCAAAGTCCTACAGAATTTGAGGTTGGCTGCAAAAGGGACATATAGTACCTTTAAGGTTAGCAGAAAATTTGTATGAAAACTTCTAATAGTTTGCTTGCAATGAAAATTGGAATTCCTTATCAACATTATCAAAGTTTGGGTGAGTAATAACATTTAACAACAACATCAAGACACCAGGCTTAATTGAGCATGGGACTGAATTTTTTTTAATTTTTTTATTTAATTGAAAAAAATTACATTTTTAAATACCTAATTTTTCTTCATAATTTTAAAATGTATTTCCCTTCGTCTGTCTTTACTATAATACACTATATAAACTTCATCTCCGATTCTTCCTCTCTCTCTCTTTCTATTTTTCCAACTACCCTTCAGTCCTTCACCATGTCTATCCTCTATCTCCTACCCCCACCCTCCTCTCTCTCTCTCTCTCTCTCTCTCTCTCTCTGTCTCCCTCCTCTCTCTCTCTCTCTCTCGCTCCCTCTCTCTCTCTCTCGCTCTCTATCTCTCTCTCTCTCTCCCTCTCTCTCTCCTACATGTACTCACTAAAGTCCACCCTTCTTCACTGTGGATCAGCCATCTCAATTTCAATCAGCTTAGAGAAAGTAAATCCTTTGAAAGGTAACACTTTTGCCAGTAAGCCCCTCTTAGCCCTGACCAAGCTCCTCCAAATGCATGAATGTGCCTTTGAACTTTCCCCACATTGTGGAGCACAGCAGAAGGCCCCTCTGTAGTATGTTGTATGTTCAGATTTCAGAACCGTAAGGTCATACATGTTCATGTATGGGTTCAGAACAAGGAGGGCATTAACTCTATAAGGCCAAATAAAAAAAAAAATCTTTTAAATAGCGTCCTGCCTTTTTGAAAAATGGGAATGGGGAGGCCCTTTTTTTTTTTTTTTTTTCTTCAAAATGCTTGTTTTAATTCATTGAAGAAAGAAATATTTACAAAAAAATAGGAGGCAGCCCCCAAAAAGGAAGCGAGCGAGGACACTAAACATGTATATTTTTGTAATGGCCTAAATGCACATTCACACCCTTTTAGCTCTAATTTGACCATAGATGTATATTCAGTTCTAGTGTTCACAGCTCAGACTCCTGTATAGTGTCTACCTACCCAAAGGCCATTAACTCATCATTTAACACATGATTAATTCCCTTAATTAGTGCCCCGTGTTCAGCTCAAGTGTTAGTGCTCATAGGAGCATGCCTGCTGCTCAGAAGCCAGATCATCTGACCCATTTACAAGAACTTTACCCAATCTCGATAAAAGCAGACAAAAGAAGAAACAGCAATAATATCCACATTTCTTCACTATATTTCAAATACACCCTATCACATTTTTTCGTCTTTACATGTACATGTTTCTCTGTCTCTCCCCCCCCCCCCTCCCCCTTCCCCTCATCTTTCTTTCGCTTTCCCTTCTCCCATTCTTTCTCTACAATGTTATTTCCCCATCATCCTTCACATCTCCTTATTTTTCTCTTTTAAATGTTTTCACTGTATATTTTTCTTTCTAAGTGTTGAATTTACTACTTTCCATTTTGCTCATACTCACTCTGTCTCTTTCACTCTCTTTTTCATCTCTCATTCTATCTCTCCAGTGTTCTTCCTATCATCCTTGCTCTCTCTGTCTGTCTACATGTATGTCTCACTCTCTCTCTCTCTCTCTCTATATATATATATATATATGCCTCTGTCTCTCTCTCTATCCCTCCCTCGCTCTTGCTCCCTCTGTCTTTCAGTATAGTCTCCTCCAACCTAAACCTGGATGGATTTATCTCCTAATCTTCCTAATGGGCTTCCTAATCTCCCGGAGGATTTGAAGCTTAATCTGTTAATGGAAAACCCAGGCAACCAAAAGGAGATTCTTACCTACAATCTCCCTCCAAAACATCACAAAAAGGTAAAAATGGAGAGAGCCCCTCTCTCGAATCATCTATCTCTCTTCCTCTCTCTCTCTTTCTCTCTCTTTCACTATCTGTACCCAAGTTCCCTAGTCCCTCCGCTCGAGAGCAAATCCAGCCTTAAAATCTTTTCTTGCCATTTGTCATTCGATGCCCTAACAAGAAAGATGGGAGCAAATCTGACGGCATTAACGATGCCTCTGACAATTTCTGTGAAATGGCCAAACAAAGGCTACTAGAGAAGGTGTACTCTCAGGCAGTCAAAGGAGACTTCAACGATACAAGTAACACTTAACCCCCCCCCCCCCCCCCCCTCCCCCCCCCCCCCCCCCCTTCCCATTCCAGAGACATTAGCTGGCTGGTACGTCATCCGGCCTGTTCTCAGTCTCAACTAGCTCTCTCAACTCCTCATCCGCCAGCAAATGAACGAGCTATCAGCAGGCAATTACTTAAGTCTCGACATTATGCCACGTCCCCTCTGAGATTTCCAACATTAAAAAACAACTTCCCAGGATGCTCCCAGCTACATGTACCTTCCAGTGCACTTAGCCAAGAGAATAACGCCAATACACATTAATTCTTACATTCTCTCTCTTTCTTTTCACATTTAAGGAACATAATTGTTTCAAGAGAAGGCATATATTAGCTGAAGTTATTCAAGTAACATTTGCCTTAAAGGTAAAGACCAGTATTGGAAATGCCCCTATTTCAAAAAATGAAATGGAAGCTCTCATTACCAATCATGTGAAAGAATATGTTTTGACTAATACATGATGATACAAAATTTGCCGGGAAACCGCCTACTAATTCATATATTTGGTAAATTTGTTTCTCTCATGGTCTGTGAGAGATATAGGGTAGTCCCATATACATCTTTCTGTGTATAGTGCTTGTAACTTTACGAAGAATGGGCCAAATTTCTTATCATTTTGATGATTCCAGGACCTTGCAGATGCTAGATGCTAGATGATCAACCTTTTCTGATCGATTCCACAACGTTTCTTTCACAATGCAATCGCGTGACCATAACTGGTCTTTATCTTTAACAAGTCAAAGATCTTCTCATTTCTGGGAAACAAATGTTTACCAAAAGATAACCCACTGAGGATTCTTGAAACATTCACATTAATACTTTTTTTTGTAAAACTGAAAACTACAAGGTACTCCGTTTGAAAAGCCCACAGGCCTGAAGCGTCTTTATTACGCATGTCTATCTTTCTTCTTCCTCTCTCTCTCTCTCTCTCTCTCTTTCTCTCTCTTTCACCCTCGTGCAAATATGTTGTCCTGTTTATTACCAACCCTTCCTCCTCCTTCTGACCTCTTCAACTAAGTTTATTTTATTTTATCTTTTTTTAAATACATTTACTTTTTTTATAATACAGATGTGCCTTCTTGTCTCCTTTTTGAACATCCAGGACATCATTCCTTATAATGTCAAACATACTCAAGAATGAAGACATACTCTACTAAAAGAAACCTTGAAATATTGTTTTTCCACAATTTCATCAAGTTTCACAAAATCATACAGGAGAATGGATTTGTCTTGAACACGAACCTGAAATTTCTTTTAAGACTTATTAAAAGGACTTTTTTTCATGCCACATGGGACACTCTAGCTCTCTAGAAGATTTCAAATTTGAATCGTTTCCCTTTGCGGCGAGAAAGTATGAAAATACAAATATATGCACACTTAAAAAATGACATAAAACCTCCAAGCCAAGGGCAAAGAAAAGATAGAATTAAGTGCTCATCCTGGATAAATACCTTGCTCTCACATTCTGATGAAGAAAGCCTATTGATGCATACCCACTGCCAAGATAGGAATCACAATTTCGATGAAAGCCTTCCCCATCGTGGAAGCTTCATTTTTTTCCTTACAACTCTAAGAATCGCAACGAGAGCGCGATTGAGGAACTGACACGACTTTTCGGCTTTCCTGCTGCAGTGGGAACGACACGGAATCGTCTTCCAGGCTGGAAAGTCGCATTCTGGATTAAATGGAGAAAACAAAGGATCTCTCCTCAACGGCAGTGCATTAACAATCCCTGGAGGCTTAGCATGCCTCGCAAATATTTCTTTAAAAGAAGAGGGAAAGATGGTTGTTAAATATAGATATAGAAATCAAAATTCCTAGAGACAGGAAAACAAATGTTTATTTCATTCCTCATAAACAAACTTGTTTTAAAGAAAGTATCAAACAATTTTGTTGGGGAATATATTTGTATGATCACTTCATGAAAAACTTAATGAGAGGACGAGCATTTGTAGCAAAAGACTGGAAGAGCCTAGTAAATGCATGTGACTGGAATAATCAAACTTTAAGTTTTTTCAGAAGAAAAAAAGAGATTTAGTACAATAAGGATCTATGGGATATACTTCCTGTACTGTACTTTTTTGTCCTCTTTTCATATATTTGTATTTGTAAGCGCTATGGTACTCATTGTTTTTAGCGCTCCTAAATATTCGGTATTATTATTATTATTAAAATAGGTACATAAGCAAATATAGCAGAAAAACTAGCTACCAAATAGAAAGTTCTTTTAATATTGTGCTTTTGGGTATTTTTATCAACCATGAACTGCTAGAGGGACACTTTTATTGTTTTGCTAGAAATCCAGTCTCTAAAAAGGGACTAAGGGCGCGTTCATGCTTGATTTTAAAGGCAGAATGAGCGACTTGTAACGCTCATCTTAAACGCTCATCGTAATCGCAGTTCCACGGTGCACTGTTCATGCTCACTTCTCCAGGCAATTCTCCTTGGGTGGCCTTCAGCTGGATTCGCAAACCTGTGTGCGCATGCTACGTAGACCCACTAGAGGTCAGTGCGTTGAGGTCAGTGCGTTGACCCCATTTAAACGCGTTTACAAATTGTAAACGCATCTTTTTGTGAGTTTACGATCGGCGATCATGATCGCCGTTTTTCGGTGATTCTACAAAAGTGAGCATGAACGCAATCGTGTTTTAAACTAAACGCGTAACAGATGCCTGATTCTGGCCGTCAAAATCAAGCATGAACGCGCCCTAAAAGCATTTGGATTAATTCTTTTATTGTTTCGGTTGAATTAATTTTAGAAAAATCCAAGTCGCAGGAAGGTAAAGTATAACCTTAACGTGTAGATCATCTTTTCACATGGGCATTAACTCTGTGTTACTGTACGTATGTTGTACTTAACATCATTCCAGCTCTGATGAACAAACATTTACGTAACATTTAATAGTACGATACACGTAGTCTTCAAATAACCTTACATCATAAACTTCGTCAAGTTCAAGGTCTCCAAAGTGGTATCAAACAACAATTACAGAGTGTGGGTTTACAAAATTAGTTACCAATCACTGGACCCTTTCTCCCTTATTCTTCAACACAAAATACAACAAATGTACTAACATCTTTCAACGATCCCGGAATTAAATATAGGTGTTGGTGAAGTCAAGTTCTTCGGAAAGTCGGAAACCCAAGAAGTAAAGTTCAATATACAGTATGTTTGAAACAATCCATTTATCAAGGGATTTCACTGCTAATAATAGAGCCCTTGTGGAAGCATCATCAAAGTGAGATATAAATGTCATTAAAAGATAATCCTCTCCCAGTGGACACACAGAGTTCTTCCCTCATTGAAGACGGGTCTGCGGTAAAGGCTCATGGGATATCGGGGTAGAACGAACCAAGGCACGTCTGCCTTGATACCTGAAAACAATTCCAAAGCAGCACCTTCCCTTATTCACCTTCCTTTTTATCTGTGAAGATTATTAACGATATAGCGGTTAAGGAGATTTTGGGAGCACATCTGGTAAGCGGATTGCAAGTTTCTTTCACAAGATCATATTCTGGGCTTGCTTTAAAGTGGTGTTAGAGGGATGACATTGCAAAAGTGGTTTCAATGGTGAAAACAAAACAAAACAAAAAAGAAAAAGTGTTTTTTTTTTTTAATGACATTTTGGGAGAATCTTTTTCCCTTTTCCCCATGAATATTAGAAATACATTAGTCTTCTGGTAACTCGATAGTTTAACAAATCTTTGTATCTTGAGTAGTCAATTTTATTTATATTATAAATGTAAATTGCTTTGAATATATTATGTTTGGTAATTTGTTGCACATGAAAATTAATAAAATCCCTGCCTGTGGAAGGAAAAGTATGGGAGTGAAAAAAAATGGGGAAAGAGGAGAAAAAAGTAGATATTGTTGAAAGTACAACTGTAAACAGTTGGCTACCGTAAGTTGGTTAGCTACCGGACCGGTACTCAAAACAGTTGAGCAACTCTGCTCATTGGAATGATTGGATGGTGAAGTTTTTTCTTTACACTTCACTATACATGTACATGTAGCCTTCTTGGATTTTATATGCATGTACTTCATTTTATTGTGTCATTATCGTCACCTGGCCATCAATTACAATTTAGCCAACAACAAAAAAAGAATGTGATACACTTTAAATTACTTGCATTTCATTCCTTGATAGCCATGTTTGTCTGCTTCTTGTAGCATATTTTAATAAGATTTTTAGAAAGGTATTAAGATATAAGTTCATAATATTGCTGTTTGAATATATATTTTTAAACAAATCAATTTCAAGATTTTAAAGGTCACTTCTACATGCCTATCTAATCTTACATCGGAAAATCACAAGATTCTGACTGTTTTCAGTCCTGAAAAACATCCGAGAATTGATTATTGGTCAGCATCCCTTATCTGAGGATATGCTGCAAGATTACAAGAATTAATGAGTATAGTGTCCTTCCAAGTTTTTCTTAGATCATAAAGTATATCCTGCTTGTTAAGAAGTACATCACATTTGACCTTCAGAGAGAGAAAAACAAAATGTGTCATGACTCCGAAGTCGGTAGATCCACTGTGCACTCCGTGGGCATTGAGCAAAGTCTTTTTCAGACAGTACATCTAACAAAACAAAATAAAAATGACGCAAATTAGATCTGGAAGAGCGTCCTAAGCCGGCTAATCCTCTCTCCTTTTAGTCACTTAATTCCAATTCCCAAGCCCTCCACCACGCAAATACAGGTACACATTTTATTTCTTTTCCCTTGCTGCATCCCCTCCGGCTAACGCAACTCTCAGAGCCTGCCAAAATACAGCTTGGATGCCAGCAAAAAGAAACTGGATTAATTACCTTCCTCTACAGGAAGTGAGCAAGAAAAAACTCAAGCTTATGAGATAAATTAGCTTCTAAGCTTCACCATACTTCTCATTTCTCTCTCACGCTCTCTCTCTCTCTCTCTTTCTTTCTTCCCATCTCTGTTGGTAAAATTAGAAAGCGTCGGCAGGAGTATTGCGTGAGATCGCGTACCGAAATATCTCGCAAGCAGGAAGGAAACTTGGGCATTTTTTTCTTGGGCTAATCCCGCTGCGATAGGACTCAAAGTCAACTCTTCCTGGTCTGGGTTGAGAGAATTCCTGACTATTTTGTCAAGCGGGTATTATCACCTCGACGAGGTCCCATGCAAAGTAGTATTTTCAGAGCAACAGCAGCCACTTAATGAATTTGCTGCTATGATGACAAACAGATAAATTTCATTGACAGATAATGAGCCATCCATCAATGAGTGATCTACCCAATCATTTTCCTCTCTCAATGTACATGTAACTCTCTTTCTTTCACACTCTGGCTTTTTTTTTCTCAGCTTTTTTCTTTTCTTTCAGTTTTTATTACCACATTGTCTACATGTATGTCCTTTTTAAAAATAAATAATGTCTGCTCTGTGTCTGTATGGGTAGGTGTGAATTCTATTCTTGGATTAGATCTGCAAGTAATTTCTACTGAAACCTATAAGTGAAAGTACAGAATGCCATTAAAAACAATAAGTTGCAGTAGCCCATTTTAACAAAGAAAATCTAAGCATTAACAAAAATGTAATTAATGTACTGTATAACATACAATGTAATAGATGGCAGTAATAGAGACATGGTAATAGTTCTGTGAAGTACATTGTATATTGTGCAATGTTCTTATCCCCCCTCCCATAAATGAAAATATATCGGTACATGAAGAGTACATGTAGGGACTGTTGGAATTGTGAAGAAAAAAAAAACTTCAAACAGTTCCTACCATGCCTCTTTTCGATATTTTAGTATTTCACAGTTCACATTATTATTTTTCCAGCATGCTCTTACATGAATTCAATAATTAGAAGAAAAAGAAAAAAACGGGGGAAAAGACAATACCAACTTCTGAAAGAACTGCAATACTGGTACAATGCATTCATTAAAGTTAAAATACTCTAACCAAGAAACTTATTTGTTCCATGGTTTAATAATCATGAAATTTATTTACATTTTAATGCTTCAGTAAGTTTAGCCATATAAATCTTATTACCACAGCCTATTTGCCATTGTTAAAGCAGTAAATAATAGGGCCTAGTAAATAATAGAGGTAAATTGTGCTAAATTGTATTTTATAGTGGAATTCTATCAGAGTTCATGGACAGAATCACAGCAATTATCTCATAAAGAAAAAAATATTAATAATAATTCACTGTAGATCCACACTGTAAGATAAGATTGAACCTGGTATCATATTAAAAAGGATAAAAAATTTTAAAGAAGAAAATCTCTCAAAAACTGCAAAACGTAAGTTACAATAAGTGTATAAAAAGTGAACTATCAGAGAGCAGAACTCCCTATTGCAGAGGGGGCCTTTTTTGTATTTATGTCGGTGCATCTGTGCATTTCTACATCAACATGTACATCACTCCAACCATGAATATTTCACGAGATTTTACTAATTTCTTAGCACTTGGCCATAATGCCATCCCATTAATAAAAAAATTGTCAATATCACATGCTGGAAGCAAAAATCTAGCAAAGGGAATATTTTGAACAAATTTACAGGAATTGAGACCAATACAGATTATTAGGGCTTCTGTATTACCTTTCTTCATTGAGGTGTGGGAAAAATTGTTGGGTTATGATAAAAAATGTCAAGCCCTGCAATAGCAGAATAGTATCACACATTCACACTCATACACAAACTATTTAGGAAACATTAAGTTCATGAAGCAGAAGACTGGACACAGGTCACAGGACTATTTGGTTGTGGATTACTAATAAACACACCTTTGCCTACAATAGCAACAACAACAAAAGAAACCAAAAAACACCAACAACAACAAAAACAAGACTATCACAAAAGAACAAAAAACAAAAAAAACTTTGCATTAAATGAAGACACATCTAAAATCTTAATTAAATAAAAAGTACAGGGGGGTATCCTGAAAAACAAAGAAAAACGAAAGGCAACCACATGTACATGTATGGTGAGTGAAAATACCTGCCATCGTTCATTTCATGGTACACGATGTACTTGCACATTATTCTATACAAACATTGACATTCTCAATACTCCAGATAATAGTTGTCAATGCTCTCATTCAGCTAATTTGGAAGAAAGATATAACATTTCAAGTAATGAATCTTAGTCTCCTCCTTACAAACTCTGAACCTTGATATTTCAAATTCCACAAGTAACCAACTGATTGTACTAGCTCACCTTGTAAGTGGGATTTTTTTCTTCCACTACATATCATTACAATTAAGTTAAATTTGTACGACCCATACTTCAAATATGATGCCACAAGTTCTTACCTGAATCTTTGACACGTTTTGACGGTGGGGGTTTCCTTTGTTGGTTGAAGCAGCAGCATCAGGCAGGCCAGGAGCAGCAGCGGGCTCTGAGCCTTCCCGTCTGGGTTGAGGGCTGGACTGCTTGCGTTTCCTGCTGTGCGAGGAAGCCAAGCTGTCTCCGCTCGGCAACCCGTGGGGAGGAGGGGAGGAAGGAGTACTCATGGGGTTGGCACTGCTGAAGTCACCTTCACCTGACGTTGATGGTTCTGTGCCTTCCTCCGCACCTTCGCCCTGTGCACCACCACTTCCGTACACTTGTAACTGCAGGAAAGATGAGAATGATCAAACGACATGACGGTACAACTTGTATTCAAAGGAAAAATAAAATATTACAAAAATAACACAATCTGTTAATCGATAAAAGGTGTTGACTTTCAAAATATTGATGAATAACTTTTAAAAGGAGCCACAAAATTCATTTAGATTAATTCTGAAATTTAAAAAAGTATAGTACACAAGCATCTGAACTCCTTTCTTTCTTCTTCTTTTTTTCTTCTGTGGACAAGCTGTTTTCAATTGAAAATCGTATGAAAGCAATCAAATAAAAAAAATAAAAGGTTGACAACACTTTAGTTGAATCAGAGAAATAAAGAAAAAGTCATCAGGTATGAAAGAGATATAACTATTTGTATGTGAATAGAGAAAAATTGTTAAATTGGTCAGTCAACTGTAACAAGGACTAATGGCTAATGATATTACAACAGGTGTACAGTGAAATATTATGAATTTTCCAATTTCTCTTTTAACTACTAGATCTAGGCACCTTTATCTTTTAATCAAAAGGTTGAGCATGCTGCTGCATGTCCTTCCAATAAGAATTAATTCTTCTGTGCTATGAAAGTTTTTAAAAAAATTTAAAGAAAAAAAAAACTTCCATAATTTTGAATGAGCTGGAAGAGTCTGTTGTTGTGGTCTGCAACAGAAAAAAGTATCATTCTTGACTTCAAACTTTAAAGTTTCTTGAGCTCCATCCATGTTTCTCTTGCTTTTTAATACATTTTTTCAAAGTATATTGGTATCAAGATTGGTATCAAGGTTGGATTCCCATGTTCAATATATAAAAGTATTCAACAATTATTTCAACAACACCAAGCATCGACAATTTCCAAAATACCATCAAACAAACTTCAATGCACAACATTGATACCCTACACAATGGTACCTGGGCGGCCAGCCCTGGCGTTATCAGCGCTTGGCACTTGGGTGGTTATGTGCGTTGATCCCTAGAAGCCTTCTTCACCACGTCGACAGAATAATCGTTTTCAAGTCTTCCAGAAAACATAAATCACAATTGTGCTTAACATTTCCGTCGTATATAATACGAAGACTAGTTAAAATATAAAATCACTTCCAAAACTGTTTAAAATGAGTAATATGAACACAGGTAAGACACATCATATTTTACCTGAGTTCGGCTAAAACTTGTGTCGGTACTTGCAGCCACCCATGCCTCCGCGAGATCTTGCACGGTTTGTTGCAGATCCATTGCATTAGGCTTAGCTGTCTGGCAAGATTATCGGAAACATACAAAATGCGTAGCTAGTTTTGCACCAGAATACTTCTTGATGAGTAGCTCCAGTTGGGCTCCCGTAAAACAGAGAAATCAAGTTCATAGACAGTCGACAGCTCCTCGTGTGAAAATGAGCGCAAACAGCGAATTTGTCGCTTCGAATTCAGGCTCTCGAACAGTGAATCCACGGCTTTGTTCGGTGATCAGCTAAGCTAAAGGTCGCAGAGATTACGGATTAACGCATAGCACAGTCAATGCGAATGCGCGAAGAATATAGTCCATACTAATACTCCAAAATTAATGACTCTTTCGAACTATGTGCACAACTACTGATTATATCTTCGAGGATATTTTGATATTTACTCCTGGAAAATAATATTATTTAATTTGATCGAATTTGGATTTATAGTTAATCAATTTATTTTAAGAAGGTAATCTCACAAAGATGTATGCATGGTACCAGCAGCGCTGCGCCAGTAGGCCTACAGTGTTTTCACCTGAGCTAGCTAGCTGTCGCAGCATCACAGGCTATATAGCAGCCGTACTGTACATAGGCAAATCTGAGCGAGATGATGGATAAAGTCCAATGCGATATTTATATGCAAGCAAATGGGAATAAGGGATTATCTCTTATATTTTCATGATATCATAGAAATCGAATTTTACATCAAAATAATTTCTGAAAATATCATATTCCTTAAATAATGTCATAAAGTTTGAAATTTTGCTTCTTAGAAGCACAAAAGAACGTTTCAGTCCAGCTTTTAAGGACCCAATATTCTTGATCGAGGTTACATTGTAGCAAAATGGAGACTGTCGTGTTGGCTAAAATTGTCGCTTTGGCGACACTTTTGGGGCTTGTTTCTGGTTCTGGGAACCATTTCAAGGATGGTGACAAGGTAACTTTGATTTCCCCATAAATATATTTATAAACTATCCTCAACCAGTACCTTGATTGGTACCCTTCATGCATGTTTTCGCCATTTCTTCACTCGATTATTTCTGTTTATGTGACTGTTCAATTGATGACATGACAGACTGACTGACTGCGGGTGCAGGGTGCCGCTGAAACTTTGAGTTTGACAGACATGAAACTCGACATTGACAGTGATGACCAGTGTCGGTTAGTCAGATCAGGGTGTGTGATAACTGTGAAAATATTCAATCATTTTATGGCAATGGATTGTTATTTGTTGATGATTGAAATTGAAAGTCAGGGTAGACCTAATTCTCCAGATTCTGCCGCCCGAAGTAGAAAAAGACCAGTGCAAAGTCGGGTCTAGGGTCTAATAATTAATGTGCACAATTTTAATAGTTCCAGGATGGGGCGCTGGTCCGAGAACCGTCCACATAATCGAGGATTACCTCGTAAACGCGAACAACACAAGTCCTACAAAATAAGGATGGAAGTCCACATTTTCGCAGACGTTTTTTTCTTCGGTGCTCTGCGAGTTCCCGATCTGCGCGCTGGCAATGCAAAAAACGGATTCCGAGTAGGTCTAGACCCCTAATAAAATACCCCCACTCACCACCTACTTTTATAGGGGTTCTGTGTTCCCAAGGATTTATTGCTCATAAAGCGTACGTGAGAGTCTCTGTACAGAGTTAATGTGAAATGCATCAAGAAAACCATTGCGGAATCTGTTTTTTCGCATCATCAACGTGCGGATCGGAAATCAGAATCATCAGAGAAAATGCGGACGATCCTTATTGTTTTATTGCGTCTGTTCGCGTTAACGAAGACGATCCTCTTTGGTGCGGACGATCCTTAATATTCTCGGACCTGCGCCTCTACTGATTCCTCACCTACACAGCCACCCTAACCCTAATCCTAGCCCAACGTCCAACAAAGTCAGTACAGTTTGAAGCAGCTTGTTTTGTGCTCCTAAGCTACATTTCTAGATTAAATTAGACTATGAATCATCAAGTAGACTGGTATCATTATTTAAACTTTAAAGATGGAACTTCAAGTTCATTTGTGATTAATATGTTTGCAATATTTTGACATGTTAGAAAACTAATTTCCAACAGCTATTTAACAATTAGAAATGTCGCAGATTTCAATAATCCAGTGTTTTGTCAATTGTAATTCAATAACTTTGTAGCATGAGACTTTGGCAATTCTGAACCACTTGCAAAATTTGTGAAAATTAACATCATTAATCAGGCGATTCTGGCATGCATAGTTACTGGTAACTGATTGGGGAAGTTTTAAAGAGGGAGCAAGTAGCTACAAGTAGTACAGTGTGGCTTTACAATTTAATTTGTGTGATTAATTAATATTATTTTCTAAGGGTCTTAGTTTTTCATGTGAAAATGCTATGTTTTTTCCTGCATTTCCACAATATATGCCCATGGAAACATTCTATGAATGTAAGATCATTTTGTACTGTCATTTTAGATCTAAATATCCCCAAGCACTGCATATAAAAGTCCCACAAAAAATGACTTTGCTTGTAAACAGTAAACAGTGACATTTTTGCATTACAAAATTTTGTGTTGTTGCTATGGAAATTATCTGCACTTAATTGCATGTACTGTAATTCTGTTTCAAATGTGATGTGAGTACTTTTATTTTTGTTATTCTTTTCATACAGGTTCCTTTGTATGTAAACAAGGTGGGACCATATTTCAACCCACATGAAACGTATCACTACTACCAACTGCCAGTGTGCAGACCAGAAAAGGTACGTCTTTATGATACTTTGTAGCTCAAGGATCAATAGATCTTTGATATAACAAAATATACTGTATGTGTAAATTTGTGCAAATCACGATTTACTTTATATACAAAAGAAGATTAATAAAAATAACTTTGATACAGGTATTTTTGAAGTGTTTGTGCAATTTGTTGATTTTGTCAGTTGTAATGTCAAGCATTAAATTGTTTTAAAAAAAGGTTGCTTATTCATATTATATTCTGCAAATATCTAATTGATCAATGCTCTGTAACCCCACTAAATGTCAAACATAAGAGTTACAAATATTGTCTTGTCTTGTCTTGAGAATAAATGAGTATACATGTAAATGAAAAGCAATGCAATCTTGCTCATCAGCATAAGATGTGGACATACTGTAGTTCTAGTAATCAGAGTAGATTTGAATTTTGGGGGAAGTACATTGGGGAACAGGACCTGGTGTCATCATAATTCTTCTTGCATCAATAATTGTGACATTCTAGTGAAATGGGACTTCTCTATTATTTAGAAATTCAAATCAATCAAATAGGATAAATCTCTTATCAATATGCGATAATCTTCATTTCGTTTTGCTAGGTTTATATTGATCCTATCAGATGCCAATGTCATAATTTGAAACATGTTTTTATATTTCATAATAAATGTAACTATGTTGCCTTGATTCTTTATTGCACAGGTTGAAACCAAAAGTCTTACTCTTGGAGAGATTCTAGATGGAGATCGCATGGCAGAATCTATGTATCAGATGAAATTTAAAGGTTTGTACATGTATGCCTTTTTCCAGTCATATGGCTTTACTTATTCAATATATATGCAAGGAATCATCCTCTCTTTTTTTGTCCAGATATTCATGGCGAATCTTAGAAAACTAGATTGTGTGCATAGTATTTCTGATTCTGTCTTGATATTATATCATTTATTAATTCAATACTAAATAATGGCAGATAGAATTGAAGAAAAAAAAGTAGATGCCTGCAGATAATGCATAGGTATGTGTGTACTCTATGGGCTGTGACCGTGTTATGATATACAATTTTTAAATCACCCTTCATGTAGGTATACATCATTTGATGCATTTTAATTTGCCCATGAGCAGAGCCAACAACTGTACATATACTGTACATTGATCACCTTTATAATGAGAGACTTGGTATTTGAGGAATGGATTTACCAAACCACTTGTCATCCAAATGGTGATTTGAACTTGTTTACTTCATATTAAACAGAGAACTCAAACAGTGAAGTACTATGTGACATGAAGCTCTCTGAATCAGACCTGAAGCAGCTCAGAGAGGCCATTGAAGAATTGTATTACTTTGAGTTTGTCGTAGGTGAGTACGACTGGAATCTATGATCCACATGTATCAATCAAGAAATGCTGTTACCACTCCCCAGGGAGTGGAAAATTTGCATACATTGTGTGCGGGTTAGCCTGGATCCGATGACCGGGGTAATAATATATCTGTAGAGCGCTTAGGCACATCGTTGGATCGTTGTTTTGGGCGCTATATGAAAGCGGAATATTGTTATTATTATTATAACATTTTGACATCAACATTAAATCAGTTGCATTGTTTATTAATTTGCTTAGAGAGTTGAGAAAAACAACCCAGAAAGTTTCAAGAGAAAGAATTAATTATTGGAGGAGAGCTTAATGTTTTTTTACAATAAGAAATGTAGGAATTTGTAGGAATACTCACATTGTTCTAAGAATAACCCTACATCACCTTTATCATATGGAGAAAGACATAACCAGAGCACTAATCTGAAATAAAGTAATCCAGCACCGTTGTCACCACATAAATAATATCTATTTCCATTGCTTTGGGCAATATTTTTTCAGCATGTAAAGGTACTTAGAATATCATATAAATAACTATTTGATGAATTTTCTTGCATAAATGTAGAGTGTTAGTGGAACTATAACAGAAGGCAAATTGGGCTTTTTGATCATAGCAAGTGTTACCGGTAATGTGTTGTGTTATTGGAGTTGATATTGAATATATTTACATTATAAAATCCACATCAATGCAAAGACAACTTTATTAAGCGGAATAAAAAGTATTCTTAATTTAGACCTTTGAATTCAACTTGAATGTCATTTGGTGAACTTTCTACTTGTTTGTTTTCAATGTTGTAGATTTAGTGACTTGTTGTTGGAATGATAGTATTTAATTGAATATAATGCATTTGCTTGTTTTACTCTTTACACTCTATGTTATCTTTGCAACCAGATGAAATACCAATCCGAGGCTTTGTGGGTCACTTCCAAGAGAGTGGTTTCATACCCCACACTCACAAGATCTACCTCTGGGTTCACCATCACTTCCACATAGAATACAATGCAGATCAGGTAACATTCTTTCACTACAGGCATGATTTCAGTGTCATCTGTATTAAAGTCTGTACTGATTTTTTTTCTTCAAACATCAACTTCATTCAGCTATCATTAGTAATATTACTAGATAACACTTTGTGATTACTTTGGGGAGGGGACTTTTTTATGCCTCCGCTACAAAGTAGCCGGAGGCATCTTTTCTGGTTTTACGTACGACCATTCGTCCATACGCCCCGTTCTCGTGATTGCGTTATCTCAAGAACCGATTGATTGATTCCCGCAATATATGGGTAATTTATGTAGCTTGTAGAGCCAATGAACTGATTAGATTTTGGGGTCAGGAGGTCAAAGTTTTTTTGCTTTCTTTGCTTTGAGCATTACTTCAGGACTACCCACCTATTTGGTTTATTTATTCTTCACTTTGTCACTGTCCACTCTCCAATGCTACCCCTCTGTTATAGATAATTCACTACTCATGCACTAATTTGATTTCCAGGCACATAAGATGCTATATCAGTCCCCCAAAAATGTTCTCAGAAGCTATTGAAACTAAAATTTCCATTTCTAACTTGCTTTGTACTCATTTTTTTCCAGATCATATTCGTGAATGTAACGACGAGAGACAAGCAGCCCCAGAGTCTTGACGATGTCGAGCCCCCTCTCCAGATTAAGTTCACCTATGCTGTCACATGGCATGAGTCTAAGATGAAGTACAGCGATAGAGGTCTCAAACAGGTCAAGAATGCCAGCTTCTTCCCAAGAACACTTGAGGTGGGTGTCTTGACTCTTTCCTGATACCCGCTTTCTGTCCCATTGTATCTCGGAACAATTTAGTGTATAAGCCGTTATTTTTGTGATGGTTTCATTCTCACATAGTTCGTGAATCGTTGTAGAGTATTAAATTTAAATACTCAAGAAATTGTGCTTGAAAATTTTGTAATATATGTGCAAATATGTATTGTATTTTGTTTGTGTTCAATATATTGAAAACAAATAAGATTGGCCAGGGAATAATGGTTCTGTATTGAATAACTGAAATTCTGGCATTCGGCCTACCACAGTGTGACCGGTAACTAGTATGAACATAGGTTACCATACATTATAAGATGATGAAGCGGATCCTAATCAAATGATTGGCTGAGAGCATACACGTGACCAGACATCTATTTTGCCTAACACATAATTTTACCAATGACCGGTCATTAGTAACTTATGTTATAAAACATCATTCTATAAGACATATACAACATCATTTTATAAGACATATACAACATCATTTTATAAGACATATAAAACATCATCTTATAAAAAAAATAATACACATCATTTTGTTCGGGCATTCGTAAAATTACCTTTGAAACAGTTCAAACACTCTCGGCTATCGCCTCAGGTGTGTTAGACTGTTCCAAAGGTACCTTGTATGGGTAATTCTTACTAATGCCCTCACTGCTGTGTATTATTTGTATATTATTACCTCTCGAAAGTCAGCTTGAACTTATCTGTATTTTCATTTTCTTTGTGGAATGTAATATTTGTGTATGATTCTTTCCCAGGTTCATTGGTTGTCCATCATCAACTCCATGGTCCTGGTATTCCTTCTTCTTGGTTTTGTTGTCATTATACTGGTGAGTATTACAATCTAAATATTTGTAACACCCAGTTTTCAGAAGATTTCAGTCGATAAATTGCAAGGATTGCTTGTAGTTTGTTTGTTTTTTAGGGGGGGGGGTTCATCTTTTTCCTCACTCATATGAAAGTAAGTGTATGCTTGTAAAGAATCAACCAGTGACCAATGGCTAAGTCCTCTCTTTGGTTTGGTTTGATGGTTTGTTTTATCTGACTGCTAAGAAGTCATATGTATGCTTGTAAGTAAGCAACCAGAGGACCGACAGCTTGAGGTCCTCTCAGAGGGACTGGGTAATGAGAATTAATGCCTTATCAAAGGGCACAGGTACATCAACGTGATTTCGAACCTGGGATTTCCCAGTTATGAGACCACTTCTCTACTACTGAACTAACCCCCCCCCCCCCCCCAGGTGCCAACAATTCTAGGCATCTGCAAAGTTTTTGTTCTTCTTGTCGAAGATTGTAACATACAAATCAATAGTAAGAAATTACGCAGATCCCAAGTAAGAATCTAGATTATATTTGTCTCCTCTGCTGTATTATTCCTTGTAACAAAAAAGTTAGGCATAAGGACTATTTGTGAGTTGCCCTTTTCATATTCCCAAATGAAATTCCCTAACTCTAAAATTCCCAAATTCAGTTGTACTGATTTCAGACATTGGTTTCTCAACGATTACAGCTTGCTGATCAGGATGCTCAAAATCAAAGCTTGCTGCCCTTTTCACGTCTCTCAATACAATATAACAGAAATATTGTCACATAAATCTCTTTTCACGTCTCTCAATACAATATAACAGAAATATTGTCACATAAATCTAATGATAACAATGTCTTTCCTCCTTCATTTCAGATGCGTGTGTTGAAGAATGACTTTGCACGATACAACCTGGACGATGATGAAGCTGACGAGTTAGACCAAGAAGAGAATGGCTGGAAGATTGTCCACACAGATGTATTTAGGTTCCCTCCCTACAAGAGTCTGCTATGCTCCATATTGGGTACGTGATGGCTTTTGATTACAATTGAACGCAGGATTCCAGCTGATATGGAAAGTCCATAGCAAGTCATTGAATTTATAGCAAAAAAGCACAAAACATATAATATGACCCAAAAAATTAAAGTTTAAAAAACATATTTTTTACAAATTATGGATACTATATCAATTACTATATTTATACAATGACTGTACATACTTTTGCAAGCTTAATGAAGTATTAAAAATATATTTATTATACAGTGACATTTACTTTAACTGCCTTTATATAAACATGAACTACTGCAAACAAGGATCTTGTGTATTATGTATTTGTGTATTTCGGACGTACCCATTACAAGCTTTGCTTATGGGATTCGCGCCCTTCTTCCTTGTAATACAAGTTCTTTAATTATGTTTATGTTCCTACGTATAAATTGTATTGTTTGAACAGATGTCAAATATGTTGTCAAATTGAATGGAAGAAAATAAATGTTCAATTGAAATTTTGAATTGAATATATGAATTCTGCTTGCTGTTTAGATATGCATAATTTCCATAATATGAAATTATGAAATTGCAACTTTGCACTTCAGCAATTTGAAGATTTTTGTTTGTTATATTCATTTACAGATGTTATTAGTTTACATTCTTTTATACCTTTTCCTGATGATGTTAGGTGTTGGAATGCAGTTCCTGACCCTAGCTACGTGTCTTATACTGATGGCCCTGTGTGGCATGTTCAACGTCCATCGGCATGGATCAATGAACACCGCTTTCATCCTATTATATGCCCTTACCTCATGTAAGTACAGTCTCAATAAACCAGTTCAGAAATAGCTTCAGGACTCATGACCCCAAAATATCCACAGATCTTTTACAAAATGGATACGTCCCACTTGTGCATTTTAGAATTATCACTGCTGAAGTGATGGAGGTGCTTCATGAATACCTTTTGTTTGCCTCTTGAGAAGAATACTTCCACCTGTGTATCAGATAAATGTACTGTTGGTGCATAAATGAATACTCTTTATTATAACTTTCTCGAGCGCGATACCAGTATTCGTCTCAATGGGTTTTACAATTTGGAGACAAATGACCTTTACTCAAGTCATAATGGTTGTTAGTGATGACCATAGATGCTTTCTGATGCTTACCTGATGTAGCAACAACTAATAATTATGGCAATAAAATACAATAACTTGTAACAGATGAATTTAATATTTTGTTTCAAGGATCTTGGATTAGCAGTATAAATAACTTGACCTGTTTATTAATGTATGCATGTTTCCTTAAATCTTGGTGACCATTCCATTTATCTGCTACGCATAATGGTGCCTCTGTGAATAGAATTCACATTGTATACAATAGTTGTTGCTATGTTAGGAAAACTTATGGCAAGCTTTTTATTTTTGAATGTAAAAGAAAAGGATTTATGAAATTGGTTAACCGGCCAAATTAATACATTTGTGTCCTAGTCTGTAAAAATATGGAAGAAATATTCCTTGTATATAAGAGAGTATAAATTGCATAGGCATGTATGTACACATGATAAAAGTCAAATATCATCTGTTGAAAGCCAGAAGGGCGTTAACTCTCTATTAGAGTATATCAGATAAGGCCCTTTTGGCTCCAAACAGACAGTATGTACCCTCATACTTACCCTCATCTTGTACACAAGATCAGTTACATCACACAAACCATGAGATTTGTACAGGTACCCTTCAAAGTATCAGCCACAGATGAGCAAGTCCGTGGTATGTACCACACGTAATGCCAAGTATGGTATTAAATGGTATTATGGTATAGGCCATTTGCTAAATGTAACCAAATTTAGTAGATAAGTAATTTTGATGTGACTCGATAAAAAAAAAAATTCATTCACCTGTTATAAATAATTGTTTCTCAATAGTCAAAATGCAAATTGAATGCATTAGTTGCTAGGTAGGACAAACATTGTGGCTTACCCTACCAAATAACCACAGAATATATGCAATTTGCATTCTGACTATTGAAATACAATCGTTTGTGACAGATGAATGAAACAATTCATATTGATTCACTTATGAAAATGGCCTAACGTGAGCATGAAATATGATAAAAATACCATTTTATTCTATCTTTTGTCTGTTTCAAGTTCTATTAGAGCTATCAGCATGATAAAAATCATCAGATATACTAAAATCTTAGATGCAGTCAGTATGGGACAAAGTAGCTTGGACTTAATCATATATGAAAAATGTGTTACTTTTTTTACATGATTCATTTCCACAGGTTTCAAGTTCTATTAGAGCTATCAGCATGATAAAAATCATCAGATATACTAAAATCTTAGATGCAGTCAGTATGGGACAAAGTAGCTTGGACTTAATCATATATGAAAAATGTGTTACTTTTTTTACATGATTCATTTCCACAGGTTTCAAGTTCTATTAGAGCTATCAGCATGATAAAAATCATCAGATATACTAAAATCTTAGATGCGGTCAGTATGGGACAAAGTAGCTTTGACTTTATCATATATGAAAAATGTATTACTTTTTTTACATGATTCATTTCTACAGGTGTATCCGGCTATACGGCTAGTAATATGTACAAACAAATAGGAGGAGAGAATTGGGTGTGGAACCTTATATTAACTGCTAGTATGTTCTCAGGTAAGTTCGACATTTTGATCTGTATCTTTCATTTTACCCTGACACTGTCATCACCCTCGAGAAAAAACATTATGGTCTAGTGAAACTGACTCAACACTTACTAATTCAAATACAAATGCAGATTTATAAAATCACTTAAATAAGCAAATCGAAGTAGAACCATGCTACATAAAAACAAAACAAAGGCAACTTATATCTATCCAAAAAAAATTGTACATATTGGATTACACTGGAAAAATGGTAATGTTGCTATTTTTACAAACAAACGAAACACAATACAAGCATACTAAATGGAAAGAAAACATCAAAACAAGAGTATATCTATCAAAACCAAAATTGTACATTTTGGATTACACTCAATCTGTACTAGCTTAACTTGGCCTTGATCTATATCCGAGTCCAGGTTGTTCCTCGTGCTGAGGTGTTCTGGCTAAATCCCAATTAAGTCTTACCAATACTATAACTCTGCACATAACACAAATTGCCTTTTCACACTTCTGTAGACAGTATCAGTAAATGTAGTTACAGATAGAGTTTTCATATCTGATTTTACATCACCAATAAAAGCAATTTTGTTTAACCCTATTTAGCCCGGGCTATTTTGAAACTGCATAGCCCGGGGGTGGCTTCTAAGGCCCCCCCCCCCCCCCCCCCCCCATGATCTCGGCCGTGAAACGCCCGATCGCCGCGAATATTTGCATACATGTCAAGTGAAGTGTATAGAATACTATGGTAATTTCAATTTTTTTGAAAAATTCACTCATTTGCATATTTATAGTAATTTATGCAAATAAGGTCATTAAATTCACATTTTTGCCCATAAATCAGACATTATTCATATTTAAGCATTCTTTCTCACTACATATATTTGTTAGACCATTTGGAATAATAATACAACACAAAAATTTGAAAAACCAGGGTTATTCCTTATGTTATCTATTGTTTTGATAATTTCTTATGTATTTCTTTGTTTTTTTAACTTATGTATTTTATTGTTTTTGTTGTTTTATTTCATTTCCAACTATAATTCAACTATTTTGACCCCAAAATAAACACCTAAAATCTAAACAAGACCAAATAACCAATGTTTTACCTCTTTATTTGAAAAATGGGATTTCCATATGTTTTGTACACAAATCACAAAAATGAGCGATTTTCGGGCTGACATGCGAAGACAAAAGGACACGTGCCTTTGTAATGGTAGGTCCGATTTTCGAAAAATTTCTTTCAAAAGTTGCGCAAGACTCGAAAGAAAAAAGTCACAAAATTTCAGTGCAAGATTTTCTTGCGTTAAAAAATTATCGCAAAAAATGTCGAGGGGGGGGGGGGCTTCTCAAGCCCCCCCCCCCCCCCCCTAAATAGGGTTAAGAAAGAAATAAAGGTAGGTCACCACTGAAGGTGAAAGTTTGATTGACAGGTTGTATATTACACACAGGAAATGCCTCTGTGTTATTTACACAAGCAGCTTGAAATGTACACAAACAGGTGTAACACAATGGCTCAACAATTTTGTAGATTACAGTGCAGGGGAAATCTACTAGAAATCAACAAGGGAGTAATTTTGTGGCTAAAATTTGTAAACAAGGAGGAATGTGTAATTTACAATGTATCAGTGTAAGCTTGTTGCAGATAACCCTGTCACAGTTTTTGCTTAAATCTAAACTTTTTTAAACACTTTCTCTTCCCAAAATATCTCCGCCTCTGAATTTGTTACCAGAGACATTATACATGCAGTTTTATAGGGTAAAGGTTTGATCATTTATCCATCCATCCAACTACCGTGATATCTGAAGAACTATTCAAGATTTTTATTTCAAAGAGACAGTGGAGAAATGGTTGAGGTATATGTGAGCTGTCTCATTCTGTTTATTCCTATGTGGAAGAATATCCAAGTGGCAACCAGCTTGAAAAGTATTGCCATAGAATTACTCTCTTCTTTCAGATACGACTTGATATTTGTCAATCCTGCTTACTCTGACTCATTGGGTCATCTCGTTCGGTCGGGTGGTCGCGTTACACGAAAACAAAAACGGAAGATCATTTGAAGATGCACGTTAAGGCTGTGACTTTGGTAGATTTTCCATAAGTTTTTCACAGAGTGTCTGGTAAATTGGACCAGACAATTTGAGATGAGAGGGGTTTATTTCACAAAAAATTACCCCCATCATTCCCTGAATAGTAATAATAATAATTATACTTTATATAGCGCTTAATACATCTATGATGTATCTAAGCGCTTTACAGATATTGTATTCTATACTTGCCTGCACACACACAAAAGGTCAGGTAACGGGACCACCCGACCCAACATGATGACTCGATGAGTTTGGTCGAAATATCACTCATGACATTGTACATCTAAAGATGTATGTTGCTACCAGTTAACCAGTTTATTACCTTAACATTTGTATATTGTGTTTGATTTTACAGTCCCATCTTTCATCATCTGGAGTATAGTGAACTCTGTAGCATTGTATTGGGACTCAACAATGGCCCTACCCTTCACCACAGTTCTATTACTACTCATGATATGGATCTGTGGTAAGTATTGATCTATATAATATCTACTTATCTATCTATCCAGGTTCAACCCATTTTGTGTCATCGATCTGAGGGACAGTCACTTTAAAACATACTGTAAAATAAGAAATATGAGAATAATGTCCAGTCTTGTAGAATGTTACCTTTAAATTAGATGAAAAGGAATTTAAAGTCTGTTGCCATTCCAACAGTCCGACTCACATGAGCTTATGCAAGGTGACAAAAGGAGGATTATTGGCATGTTAAGAGTATCAACAGCTTTGATATTTTAGTGCATTCTCTTAAAGCCCCACTCTACTACTTGTAGCTATTTGCTCTCTCTATATAGAAAACTTCCCTAATCGGTGCCTGTTGATCCCCCATGATCCTCTATTTCTTATGTTATTTGAGAGCTGAGTTGATGAGATAGCCACCTGTCAGTGACCTCGCTGTGTGGTCTACTCCCTTGCCAAACTAGTACAGATAAACTTTAATTCACTTGTCTATATCTGCAGTCGGTTTCCCACTGACCGTCATGGGAGGCATCATGGGCAAGAACATGGCCGACGGGTTCGACGCACCTTGCAGGACGAAAAACATCGCAAGGGAAATCCCCTCTGTGCCCTGGTTTCGCTCCTGGATCATGCATTGCATCGTGGGTGGATTCCTGCCTTTCAGGTAAATGAAAGCACTTTCTTCTGTTTTCTATTGGCTCCGAAAGTAAACTTAATATTTCCATACTTATATTCAAAGGAACCAGGGGGTGTTTTCCAAAGATCCTAAGTCAAACTGAACTCTGGGTTGGGTTTAAACATTATGGAGAGCCATTTGTAGCCTTAGAATAAATATATTCAAAAGAAAAATTAAAGTATTTTAGACTTTTTTTTATAATTTCACTTCAAGAATATAAAATATCCTTCATAATACCAAATATCAATGATTTGAATCAACATTTTATGCCTTTTAAAATAACTTTTACAAAATATTTTCAAAGGTGCTAACGGCTTTCCATAATTGTTAAGTCCAACTTAGAGATAAATTAAACTTAGGATCTTTGTGAAACACCCCCCAGTTCTGACATTTTTCAAAATTAAATTATTTGATGCTTTTCAACTGCAGTCAGTCTAGCATTCTCGCCAATGCATAGCATGCTTGATGCCAATATTGAGCACAGGGGATTCCAGAAAAATAATACCAAGAGTAAAAGTCCTTCCCAACAGGGATGACTAGGTTAATAATTCTGGTAATGATACCTTCAAACCTACCATATTGCTTTGATCTTCCCAAATAACCTTGGGGTAGCTGCAAGACTATATTTTACTCAATTTTGAGCAAAAGTATACACTATCCTGCAGAGAAGCATGATTGTAGCAGTTAAGTCAATAGAGCATAAGTGAAATATAAGTGTGTTGAAGTTTATTAACTTTACTCATTTTCTCATTTCTTTACATTACTATGCATACATGTTGCTGTTACTTATATTTTAAGAAGCTGGGGTAAAAAATATGATTGTAGGGCCCTCAGAGAGAACAGTATTAATACTGATGAGGCTACCCTGGGTAAACAAGACATAAAGCTATTATTATTATTGTTTGAAATAGACCCAAAATAGCTCTGAAATATAAATTGAGTATGACATCTTCTAAATACCAATTGAGTTAAATTTGACTTAAGAAAGAAAATTTTTCATCACATTTGTCGTTAACGATTTTCCTTATTGTGATTATCCATTGTGTATTTCTCATCATTATTTGTACAGTGCCATCTCAGTGGAGCTGTACTACATCTTTGCAACTCTGTGGGGTCGTGAGCAGTACACCCTCTACGGCATTCTGTTTGTAGTCTATGCTATCCTGCTGAGCGTGACAGCCTGTATCTCTGTAGCCCTCACCTATTTCCAACTGTCCAATGAAGACTACAGGTGGTGGTGGAGGTCCATCTTCAGTGCAGGGTTAGTATACCACTGCCCCATACATACACAGGGGATTGATTATCTTAGTCCTCTGACTTAAAGGCCCACTGCACTACTTGTAGCTACTTGCGCCCTCTATATAACAAACAATGCCTAATCGGTGACCATTGGTCCCCCATGATCCTCTTTTACTTATGTTAACTGAGAGCTGAGTTGATGAGATAACCACCTGTCCAGTGACCTTGCGGGGCAGTCTAATCCCTCCTGTAAACTACGGCAGATAAGCTTTAAAGGAAGGCCAAGTTGTCAACCTGTACATTACCGTTTTTGCCGGCGATAAGGCCGCAGTGCCGCATAGGCCGCACCCCCAACTTTGACATTTCGTAGAGGGAAACAATAAAAAAATAAAAGATAAAAACGGACCAAACAAAATAATTGTAATTTTCTCGTAGAACACTCTTTATTTTTACAAACTGATACCAAATTCATCAATATTCTTATAAATTTACAAGAAGATTACCTAAAAAATGATCGTAATTAAGCAGATCTTCACCGATTTTTAAGCTAGTACTGTATCGCAAGCAGATTTGGTATCCTACAATACCCCTACCACGATGTGCGGTGTAATCTACAAAAACCAATGAATTCATTTTCAGTCACAATGTACCGCTTTTTCAGCATACCAGCTTTCTTAACATATTGCCATGTAAACTTTCAGATCAGGCTCTATGTCTTTATCATAGTCTGGATTTGTTTGAAGGCATTTTAGAACAGAGAACTAGATGAATCATGCAACCAATAGTACTAAAAAAAATATGGTTTATTGCTGTTTGGTTTACAACGAGTTAGTCTACTATTTGTACCTAATTGGTCTATTCCCATATGTTCTGCACCCAGCCCTACTATCCACATGGTCTGATAATCATTTCGTCTACTTACCATTTGGGCTATAAATAGTCATTTAGTGTAATTTCCATTTGGTCTAATCTCCAATAAATCCACCACCTATTTGGTCTAATATCCATAAGGTCTAATAATCATTAAATCATAAATTATATTAATCATCAAATGATTATTAGACCTTATGGATTGTAAACGAAATGGGCATAAGACAAACTGGGAATTAGACCAACTGGTTATTAGACTAAATGAACAATAGACCAAATGGGTAGTAGACTAATTGGAGATTAGACCAAATGTAAACAGACTAATTGGGTAATTGAAGAGCTGTTTGCAGACAAAACAGCGATTCATCAAAAATCTAACCTCCCTCTTTTCCTTGTGTCATCCTCCCACAGGTCTACTGGTGGCTTTGTATTCTTGTATGCCATCTTCTACTACAACAAGCGCTCCAGCATGTCCGGGGGGTTGCAGACCATCGAGTTCTTCGGTTACACGCTTCTCTTCTGCTACATCTTCTTCCTGATGCTCGGCACCGTGTCGTTCTTCGGATCGCTACGCTTCATCCGTTACATCTACATCAACCTCAAGATGGACTGAGAGGACGATATTTGATTGCGGTCCATAACTAGTAGAGTAGAGATAGTTACGCCACCGGAAGTCGTGCTTACTCGTAGATCAAATCCTGGAGAACTAAAGTTGTTCCCTCCCATGAGAATTGTTTGTGGGGGGGAGCTATTTGGAACTCCATGAATTGACCTTTGAAGCATGTCATCATGCGTGTGTCAAAACTCTCTCTCTCTCAAGATGCTATGGTAGGGCCAAATCATTGCATAAAGACCTTGAACCCATCTTAGTGATTAGGCTTTGGAGTTGATCAGGGACCCGTTTCACAAAGCATTTTTCAATGACAATTGACAAAAATCAGTGACTAATCTGCTGATAACCAATCAGGAGCTAGAATTTCAGTAGCTTCTAACAAAATCTGTCATTTGTCACTGATGACAAGTTTTGTGAAACGCCCCCCAGGACAAGCATTACTGCTAATATTATTGGAATGGTTTGCTTCATAAAGCTTGGGGACTGCCTAGGGGGTGTAGCAGGTTTGGTTGTTGTGTCGCACAGTTTTAACAGACATCATTATTGATTGAAAATTGTGACTATAAAATGCTATTTGGGTATAATCGCTTTAGAGAGAGAGATAGAGAGAAAGTTTTTAGTTGTAATGTATCGTGGCTATTGCCTTAAGAAGAGAATTGGTGGTGGGTTTCTCTCAGTCTGTCTCTCAACCATGCTCCCGTCCCCTCTCTCTCTCTCTCTCTCTCTCTCTCTCTCTCTCTCTCTCTCTCTCTCTCTCTCTCCCTCCCTCCCCCCCCCCCCCCCCCCTCTCTCTCTCTATCTTTCCTTTCTCGCATGGAATGATAGTATAATTACAGAAAAAAATCCAGTGCACTTGTCATTGCCTTTGAGTTCCTTTGTGATGTTTAAGGCAAATATAATTCTACACACACATCCTTCCATAAAAGAATAATAATGAAATAAATTAACCTATTGCCTGCTGGACCTGAATGGCTCCTGTATTAAGTCTATTGGAATGAGAGGAATCCAGTAGTCAACCGGTTAATACTCCAATAATTATTCCAACAGAGGTTGGTCAAAATCATGGACGTAATTACTATCATTTTCTTGCATGATCATGTGTATTAAAACTCTCCTCTAGTTCTCTTCTTTTTAAATTCCTCTTCTTACTCTTTCATTTTTCTTCTCACTTTACCTCCTTTTCAACTCTTTCCAGATATATACTGGGGAAGAAAATGTAATATTTCGGATACAAGGCTGAGACATCAAACGTTTTGCGATACTTTGTCATATGTGTTTTTTTATAATTCAGTAAATTCTCTATATTAATTCACTATAAGTAACATGTTATTATTGATGTACAAACACTGAATTTTATTTATGTTTGAACTATTGATTGAAACATTCATTTTTTTTTTTTACTTGAAGTAAATCACTGTGGTTAAAATCAGAAATGAGGAGATATGATTTTAATGTGCTTGTTTACTTTATTATACTTACTATTTTGTGTAATCTTTACATTATCACTCCTGTTCATATTATCACTAATTCACTACTTGTTTTAAAGAAGTTCAACAATTTTTTTTTTTTTTTTTTTTTTTTTTTTTTTTTTTTTTTTTTTAATGTTGTTGATGAGATGGGATTTGGATGTATTTACTATGTTCAGCAAACCTTTGAAGCTTGTCCAGTATGCTTTAGTGTGCAATCAGAAAGTGTGAGCTGCAGATATTATTTTATTTTTATTTTTAATGGCAAATCCTAGGTATTTAGTTACTACATAGACAACAACAAACAAATGCAAGTTTTGATTTTCAGCAAAAAGGGCAGCACTTAGCCATCTAGTCTAAGCAGAAAGAAAAAAACAATGGCAATATTTACTGCATCAATTATCTTCTCTTTTTTTTTTTTTTTATGGTTTAGCTGGTCACCAAAAAATAGAAATAGATATGAAAATGGGGGCTTTCCAAGACTATATACCAGTATTATATGAGATTCTAATTTTCGTCCTTTAAATCTTATAATTTAGAATTAGAATTTAGAATTAGATGTCCTAGTGCGAACAACGATTGTGTGGTAGTATAGTATGTGTTTTCGTTTTTGTCATTTAAGTAATTTTGTTTGTATCATATTATAGGTCAACTGTTGTGATATTTTGCAATATATTGATTATGCTAACATTTGACTGTTCTGAATAATATGTAGATTGATATTTATATAGCCTTTGGTAAGTGCTTCTGACAAAATCATAGGGAATGTAGGATTTTAAATCGTAATTATATGTGAAAAGTGAACAATGAAAACCTGAAGCCATCATGTGCATGAAATGTTTGTGAATTTTGTTCGTAGTACGGATTTGCAAAACGTTCATGGTGCATTATAACTGAATTGCAACATCCCACTGAATTTTTGCATCTTGCAAGTTTCTTGCTGTGTAAAAAGCTCTCATTCACAAATTATCAAAGTTTCATGCTTCCAATGCTTCTGGTTTTACTGCACATGAAAGATTATGAATGTAAATAATATATGTTACACATTTATGTACAGTTGCTTTCATATTGTACAGTTCTGTGAAATGAAAACCTTACCCTTTATAGACTAAAGTAAAAATCTGTGTTTTACACAATCGCAACTATTTTCTAAAAAAATCATCTCAAGGGCTAATTTCAATCCCCTATTGTATATCCCATTTGACTCTTGTTTGGATTACATAATGCATCATTGTCATGTTTGTAACATTTCAAAAGGTGACACACAAGGCTTTTGAAATTGCCTTGAGTTGATTTTTATAACTTTATGTAGTTGCGATTGTGTTGTTTATAATAATATCTATGAGAAACCATTGACCTTCATTTTAGGCGATTTGATGACCAGAACAATTATTAGGAGACATCCATATTGGTTATTTATTAGTTTTGGTTATTGGAATGCTTCAGTGGGGTTATTTTTATATATGATTTTTTAAAGTAATATACTCAAGTTTGGCTTTTTCAACCGATAGTGCTATTAGTTTCTTCTGTCATTCTTGGCTGTATATAAGTGTACATTTCATTTATTGAAGCATAATAAAATGAAATGTGATACATTTCTTTCCAAAGTGATTATTCATTTTTGTTTCTGTGTGTCTTTTCTCATTACATGTACTTCTAACACACGGCTCAAAATGAAACCATCGGCAAGTTATGCCGTTGGATGGTACTTTACACAATCTTTTTAGTTTTTCCCTCAAAATATAATGACAAGAAGAATGATGATAATGATAATAATATTAATAATAATTATGATAAATGAGGAGGAGGATGATATTGATAATTAAAACAACAACGCCATGGCGCTTGAACAATACCGGTCATAGCCGAGTGGGATGGAATGTGGCAAACGTGGATGAATTTCTTGCCAAATGACATATATATAGAGAGAGAGAGAGAGAGAGAGAGAGAGAGAGAGAGATTACCGGGCTTTGATTCGAAGCCTCATACAGGCCTTAATATTGAAAGTCATCTGAATAAAAAATACAAATAGCGACCACCTGTCTTTAAAGAACACATTTTTTTTCTCGTGAATATGGTTTCTCATTGAAGCCTAATCAAAAGGACGATCTGCATAAAGACCATTTGCCTTTGAAGACCACTTTTTTCTTGTTTCCCTTAAGCGGTCTTTATATACAGTTTTCACTGTACTATATGACGACACCTCCGCATCATTAAACAAAACGATACATGGTAGGCTTTTTTCCTCCATAGTGTTTCTGTCACCTATGATATTAATATGGACATAACTACATGATTCCTTGGATCTTCCTAGGGAAAACCCTCAAAATGTTGTTCTCCCTCAGAACAACAAGGCTTATTATCGTTAGAAAACCCAGTTTTTCTCCAGAGATCAACATTATTTGAAAGAATTGAAGAACAAACCTGAAATGTCAACAGCTTGGGTTACTTCTAAATGTTGTTCCCGAATAATCTTAAGATTTTGAAATCCCTACTGTCAGATGCGAAGCACTTTTCTTTCGTCCTTTCTGCAGCCCAACGATGAGAATGTATGAACCCATGATATAGCCAGTGGCGGATCCGTGAGGGGGCCAGGGGGGGGGCCTCCCCTCGGAAAGAAAAACAGGTAAAAATACGTTAATGTTACCTTTATTTGTTAAAAAAAAGTAGACGGGCCCTCTTCCCTGGTGCTCAAGTGGGGGAGGGGGCTGTCTGTTTCGCCGCTAAATATTTTCTCAGGAATTGGGCCCCCTCTTTGCGGGCCCCCTCCACTGCCGCCGGCTGGATCCGCCCCTGGATATATAGCTACATAATACATGTATTTGTAGGAGTATACTGTAATCTCTTTGTCTATCATATATTACATATATTCCAATCCAAAAAAGGCCTCCAGTTAACATGTGTAGGTAGTGGTAAGAAAAATAGGAAACAAAGATTTGGCCAAAGAATGGTTCAAAATTTTAAGGGGTAACCGACGTTGGAGCACTGTTCTTACTAAGTGATGTTAGAAAGCAACACGAGACTCTCGTGTGAGAGGGTCGTACTAGTTTTCGTTTCTTTTCTCTTCTGTGCCTTCACCCCCCCCCCCCCCCCCTCCCCCACTCCCCCTTCATCTCGCATTTTCGTCATGCGCCCCCGGTTCCCCTAGGTTTCGCAACTGACGATTACATGTAATTTCAAATAAATCGTCAACCGTCACTTTGTTTTTTATGCGGTCTATCATTTTTTAATGTTATATCTGACAAAGTACATTAATAATGCCAATAGTGCCCCCACAGTGCCCCCCCCCCCATGTACACAAATTGTCCGCTCCCTCGCTTAATTGTACGCAAAGTTTAGATTGTTTGAAACTTGTATTCAGACAAGAGAGCTCAGTCTTTTCCCTGGCTAAAACTTTTGTTCACTTTTTTAAGAAACCAAAAGGAAGAAGAAAAAACAAAAAAGACGAAACTGTAACATGCTGGATTTTCTGTATGTTTCCCTTATTAGTTGTATAAGCTTCATGAAAAAATCGAGAAAAACGAAGATAATTCACATTTTATTCTCGCACGCGACTCAACCCGTAGGTCAAGGCAAAGTGAGGAAGGTAGTTCACCGATACCGCGTCCTTGACGAAACCCCAGACGACAAAGTTACCGTGAACAAAAATGACCCGCGCCAAATCAAAACTTCGATTCCCACACGGTCTCGTGGGCATCTCGTGCTAGCCCTAATTCGTCGCCGTCCGTTGTTTTCCTCACATTCGTGGGATTTCGCACATTACTTGTGTTTGTCTGTTCGATTTCATCTCTTACAATAAAATTGATTTAGGCGAGATTATGGTGAAAAGTACAGCTCAGGTTTTCACGCCTTAAGGTGAGAATAAAATGCGGTGACGAGGGACGGCGGCTGGTCGGGACTTTTTGATGTGAGCCCGAAAAAACAATACGAACCAGCTCTTTCAAAAGTCATATTAATTGCCTATGATATAGGTCTATGATTTGGGTAGATTTGTCGATTTTCATCTCATTCTCTGACTGAAAAATCTTATTCAAAATTTGTTTCTTCTTTAACCTTAGAGTCTTTGGCAGTTATAGTCCCACCTCCCCGAATACCCTTCCTTGTTTGCTTTCTGTTCTTTCGTGCATGGCGTGTCATGGCGTGTATTGCCGATAAAGGGCGTTTCTACTGCACGGAATTGATGGTACTGGTGCATGGAGGTGGCAGTGGTAGTGGTGGAGGCGGTGGTGGCGGTGGTGGCGGTGGTGGCGGTGGTGGTGGTGGTAGTGGTGGTGGTGATGGTGACGGGGGTGGTGGTGGTGGTAGTAGTGGTGGTGGTGATGGTGACGGGGGTGGTGGTGGTGGTGGTGGTGGCGGTGGTGGTGGTGGTGGTGGTGGTGGTAGTGGTGGTGGTGATGGTGACGGGGTGGTGGTGGTGGTGGTGGTGGTGGTGGTGGTGAAGATCATGGGTGTTGGTGACGATGCGGGTGGTGGTGGTCGTGGGGGGGGGGGGCGTACATTCGATACTTCACGGTGAAATAAATATAGGCCTACTCTCCTGTAAACTACTTCTTAGAAAGTTAATGACGTATCAAACTTTATAGCATGAAACATACGTTTGCCTGTTAGGACATCATAATTATCATCAAAGCTCTTATTCGATAATCTGTTAAACAGTGACATATTAAGAACCGCAATATGACATACATAAAGGTAGCCAAAACAATTGCACCCTATATGCGCTTGTTGTGGCCCTTTTCATACTTTAGACCTTACAGGTGCCTGGAAAATCTGATACAAATTTCCCCTTTTACGGAAGTATAGAGCCGCCCTTGATTTTAATGTGCACATTCGTCGCAGAACAGGGGAGAAATGAAGGCTGGAACCCCCTATGTGTAGCTAAGAATTATTATTTATTTGGTTTGCACAGCAGACAGCCCCCTTAACCCCCCCCCCCCCTTGGTCTTTGGTATAAAATACAACTATACCCTGTAAACGTAAATTATAAACATTAATAAAATACAAAAAATAGGCCATTATGGCCTAACTTAGAAAGGAAATTCAGCAAATGAAATCAATCAATCAATCAATAAGTCATGGCAACCAATCTATAGTTTTCAATAACCCTCTTGGATTCTTTTATTTTGAAGAATGTCTTGAATATGATTAGAACCCATTTATTTCATAGTGTCATATATATTTGATTATACTTGCCCCACAAGGCAACATTACAGAGACCTTCTCACGCCCTTTTAAAACCATTAATACCTCTTAAATGCCACCATCAATAACATCAACACCCTTGTTAGCCCCACACGAATGTCAGAGGAAAAAAAAACAGACGAAAAGCATTAATTTAAATCGAAATAAAGAAATGAATA